GGCAGGCTTCCAGCTATGGAGCAATATTCCTGGCCCATGTATCTACTGTCCTTAGGTGTCAGTCTCATATTATGTTGTTTTATACTCCACAAATGTGTGCAATCCTTCTATGTCTGCCCCTCTCTTTCTGACTCCTTTCACTTAGCATGATACTCTCCATGTCTATCCATTTATAAGCAAATTTCATCACTTCATCTCTCCTACTAGCTGCATAGTATTCCATTGTGTAGTTGTACCAAAGTTCCTTTAACCGCTTACTGGAACTTTTAAAATAATGAGCCCATTATAGTTTAGTGACATTAGAATTGCATGTTTTTAATTATTCTGGCCATACCCAGTGATGTTGGCGGGGGTGCGGGGTGGGTAGCTGCTTCTGGTAGTGCTCCCTGGAAGTAAAGAAAAGAAGTTGAAAAAAAAACAGCAAAAGAAACCCAACAAACCATTTTCTGTAGTGCTGGTCTGCTGGAAATGAATTCTCTCAGCTTTTTGGTGGTGGTTGTTAATTGGGCCATTGTGGACACTGCTCTGGGGCTACACTTGGCTTGTTTCCCACAGCCCCCCCACCCCCACCCCCCTGAAACCCCTCATGGTCACTCTCTACAGTGCTTATGGTGCTCAAGAGAGCCTTGCTGTGGCGGGGATGGATGTGCCCTGTGTGTGAAACATGCTCTGTAGCCCTTGGAGCTCGCATCTTCACCCTTTCTGAGCTTCTTTGTTTCATTAGAATTTGTTTCTCATCACGCCATTTTCTCGTTGTTTAATTTTGTGTGTTTTTTATTGGTGTCTTCAAGTTGGCTGGTCCTTGCTTTGGCTGTGTTGCGTGTCCCAGAGAGTTCAGTGTAGCTCTTCCATCTCTGTTACTATGCTTTTTATTTTCGTTAGACAGTTTTCTTTTCTTTGATTTCATTTGTATCTGTTTTGGTAGGAATTTTTGAAATGGTAGTTGTGCTTACACACACACACACACGCACTTTTGTCTCTATACAGTATATATGTTTCTTGTCAAGGGTTCAACCTAGGACCTCATACATCCACGGCATATATTTGATCATGAGCCCCAATACTGGCTTCATTTTTACTTGTTATATATACGATATGCCAAACACAGTAACAACAAAGTCTCCAATGGAGACGTTACTGGGCCCGCTCGAGCAAATCGATGAACAACGCGAGGACAGTGACAGATATATTTATTATTATTTGTTTTGGTGCCAGGGATCAAACCCAGGCCTCATGCAAGTGAAGCACACCACTGAACTCCATCTCTCACCTCATACCAGAGTTTTTAGCATATTAATCAGTCACAGGTGTTTAGAATTTCTTTCCTGATAGCTCCAAAGTCAAGACATTGCTGAGTTAGCCTCTGCTGATGGCCTTTTCTCTGGACAGTGACTTGTGTTTATTTAATGGTGGGGGCTGCCTTGGGATGGTGGTTGGGCCTGTGAGCTACGCCTCGCCTCTAGGTAATGAGTTCTTTTTCTTTTTAATGTAGTGAGATTGAGCCCTGGACATTGGGCACAGGACAGCATGATGGAGATAGTATTAAAGCCCAGAGATACGAGTGCTCCTCCTTGATTAGTTTGTTCGTGTGGAGACTGGGTTAGTCTAGTTAGCAGCCGAACTTGGTATGGACTTTGTAGTTGCTCTGGCTCTCTCTCCTTACCATTTGCTTTGGCATCTTCAGTCCTTGTATGGCAGCATGGAGTTCCTGGTGGTGTTTAGGGACCAGATGGTACCCAGCACTCCAGCCCATTAGATTCTCTCCTGGGCACCAGAGTCTAATTTGGTAAAGGTAGCTTACTAGTTGGGCTGGAGCGATAGCACAATGGGTAGGGCATTTGCCTTGCACGCAGTTGACTCGGGTCTGATTCCTTCGTCCCTCTTGGAGAGCCCCGCAAGCTACCGAGAGTATCCCGCCCGCACGGCAGAGCCTGGCAAGCTCCCTGTGGCATATTTGATATGCCAAAAACAGTAACAAGTCTCACAGTGGAGACATTACTGGTGTCCGCTTGAACAAATTGATAAACAACGGGAGGACAGTGACAGTGACAGCTTACTAATGATTCTGTTCCTAAGAAAGAATTATCGGTTTAGATTGATAAGTTTATGTTGTTGCTTCTGATAGATGGGAATAATATTACATAGGACAAACAACAATAGCTGGGATTTACTGAACATTTACTGTGTGGAGGGCTGTATGCTAACCAGGTGTGGTGCTGTCTGCTGGAGTACCTGCTCCTCTCCAAGGAGACAGGAAATTGGTAATTACCAATACCAGATACTGGTAATCCCATAACACAGCTTCTTTGACCTCTGGTGATGCTTTATTTTCCTGTTTTGTTGTTGTTTCCTGGGCCATACCTGGTGGTGCCTAAAGGGTACTCCGGGCCCCTTGCTGGGGGACCACAGCACTCCGGGAATGGAACAGAACAGGTCCTCCTCCATACGAACCATGTGCTCAGCTGTTGAGTTATTTCTCCAGGCCCTGCTGGTGACACATTAGACTTAAAATGGCTTCTTGCCAGATTTGAGTAGTCTAATTCTCTCTGCGCCACAGTCTTTGCATACTCAGGGATGATGTCAGCATTCAGGAAAAGTTTCTGTGTACAGTGATGCCCTTTCTAAGACCCTCATCCGTAGATCCAGCACCCCCTGATTATTGAGTCAGACTCACTTGTGGGGAGAAAGAAGAGGGGGGACCTTCCTGCATTCTGGCTCTGCAGCTTCTCAGCTCTCGGAGTCAGCTATTTTCTCACTTGTTTGCTTTCCTGATTCTTACTAGTAGCCTGATGACACAGATACTGCGGTTCCTATTTTCAGAGGCGACACTGAGGATTAGATGCATTCAATCATTTGCCTACTGTAGAGAGCAAGAACATGGTTCAAATCAGACCAGGTTAGTAGAATGTGCTTTACCATTCCAGAAGATAATTACCATTCCAGAACCCAGGTACAGCCCCTCACCTCCAGACTTAAATAATTTGTTTTATGGTTTGGGGGCCATACCTGGTGGTACTCTGGGACTACTCTCAGCTGGGTGCTTAGAGGTCACTCCTGATGGCGAACCATTCAGTACTAGGGACCAAACAGGCCTCCTACATGCAAAATGTGTGTGCAGCTCTTTGAGCCAGCTCCACAGCTCCAAAATTCTGCTATATAAAAGACTGTAGCTATGAATTAATGATGGTGTATTTTGCATCTCACATATGTAGCTTTAGAGAGAAATTACTGTTTTCAGATGACGTTTCTTTATCCAGAGAAATAATAGATGGGAAGGCATTTTCCTAAGGCCGAAATCATGTCTTGCGTAATGCTCTAAGCGCTCAAGTTCTAGGAATGGAAGTAATTAGGTCCTTTCTCCTTCCTTAGTATCCACCATAGTTTTTTGTTGTTGTTTGTTTATTTTTCGGCTACACCTACATCATGCTCTGAGGCCATCAGGAATCACTCTTGGCAGTGCTCAGGGACCTGTATGGGATGGATGCTGGGGATTGAACCTGGTCGGCTGCACGCAATGCAGATGTAACCCTACTCTAGCCCAGTATCTACCTTAGCTTTCTTTTAAGTCTGAAAATGTGTGATGAATCAGTGTTTACCAGCGGTGGGTTATAGCAGCCCCCTCCAGAAGGGGGTGCTGGGACAGTCTAGTGGTCTCTGATGCAACTGGAGGACACGCAAATACTCTTTTTAATACTCTTTTTAATGAATCATAGTGAATTACAGAAAAGTTATTCATGATTGAATTTCAGATGAACAATGTTCCAACACTAGTTCCTTTACCAGTGTCCACTTCCCCCCACCAGTGTTCCTCAATTTCCTTTTCTCCCATCCTCCCACCAGCCTGCCTCTATGGTAGACAGTATTTCCTTTTTCCTCCTCCACCCCATCCCCCCTTTATTAGGCCCTCTGGTTTACCGTGATGTTACTCATAGGGTGTCATGCGTGTCACTTTATCTCCTTTCAGCTCCTAATCCTGGTTCAGAGTGACCACTTCCTTCTCTCGATGTCCTGTGACCCACTCCTTGATATATTCCCGCCCCCGCCCTAGTAAGCTTCCTGCTAAGAACCAGTTCTGCTCTTCACTTCCATTTGTTTTTGCTGAAAGAAGGCAGATTTCTAGAGGTGCTGAGATTTTTATTTTCTGAAAAGTGGGTTGTAGGCCAAATACATTTGTGAATTTTCCTGACTAAATTAATGCCTGGGTTATCTTTTTAAGTAGAAACTAGAAAATACTGTAGGCCTTATGGTCTCGGAGTCAGGCCTTGTAGGGAGAGCTCTTCCGAAACTGATGGGAAGCTGATCCCTCTGCTCAGTTATCATTTCAGTATTTGTCAGCAGGAAGGTGTGGAAAAAAGTAAGACAGCAGGTGGCTACGAGGAGAAAACTGTTATTGCTAGTTAATTCTTGAGTGTGACTTGTTTTCTGATTTGCTGATACCCATGAGGTTAGTTAGGATTTTGCATTAGGTACCAGGGAGGGTAAGTTCTTGTGAGAAAATTGATTCATCACCAGTATCAGGGCAGTACTCAGACACCTGAACTTTAGTAATGGTGGGGCATTGGTGTTTTACGTACATTTCAAAACTAGTGTTTAATAATGTAGAGAGATCCTGATAAAAGAGCATTAATGTTTTTTAGTTTGTTTGTTTGTTTGTTTTTCTGGCTTTGGGGTCACATCCAGAAATGCACAGGGGTTACTCCTGCCTTTGCACTCAGGAATTACTCCTGGTACCATTACTCCTGGTACCAATTACTCTGGGAACCATATGGGATGCTGGGAATTGAATCCGGGTTGGCCGTGTGCAAGGCAAATGCCCATCCCACTGTACTGTCTATTGCTCCAGCCTGAGCATTAGTGTTTTATGGCAATCTTAACCGTAAATGATTTAATGGAAAGCATTCCTTCAAAACAACTGAGTTGGAATTATTTACCATTCTTGAATGACAGTTAAGAGAATTTCCAAGTAATTTAAATATCTTTATGGTTCTCTTTTTTTCAAGCTTCCAGTTGAAGACCTGAGTAATTTAACATCCCATTCATTGTCCGTGGCACATTCTTCACTCGTACCTGAATCTATGGAAGACATTCTCTCGAAAGGTTTTACTTCCTTAGAAATGGAGGAAGAAAGAATCGAAACTGCTCAGCAGGTGAATGGCAGTCTTCTTTTTTTTTTTTTTTAACATGGGCATGTTCACTGAAACTTATTAGACAGTATATCTTAACAGCTATATGTTAATGTACTTTCCTATATAAATGGTTTTTTTTTATATTTTTTATTAGTGAAACATCATGAGGTACAGTTGTAGACTTAAAATTTTTGTGCTTGGGTTTCAGTTATACAATGATCAAGTGCCCATCCCTCCACCAGTGCCCATTCTCTACCACCAATGATCCCAGTATCCCTCCCACCCCCCATCCCCCCATCCCACCTCGCCGAACATGATTGCTACGCAATGCCTCTTTTGCAAACCACAGCACCCAAAAGGAGAGAAAGAATGAATGACAGTCTTGTTGCTAAAGATATATGTTCATTTTCACAGGTCTCAAGAAAGCTGATAAAAAGTCCTAATTAAAAATATTGTTAGCATAAAATATTTTTGGAACATTATACGTGTTTCCAGGCATCAAACCTAGAATTTCCCACACACAGGGTTGGTGCTGAGCCACACCCACTGACACCACCCCCCCACCTCCCCATTCTAGAACATTCTTGATTTTGTGTTTGTCATGACTATTTCTTAAATGTTTTAATTAATTTTGGGGCCTTCTAGGTGGTGCTCAGGGACCTTGTAGAGATAGGGTTGGAACTCATATCCACATGTACTCTGGCCCTTCGAACTGTCTCTCTAGTTTCTTAAGTGTTTTCTGTTGCCCAATTGTATTTTCAATACAGATAAAAATAGGTTATTCTAAATTTGAATGGATAGAGTACTGTGTTTATTACGGTTTTCCTTTTTTGACTTATTTTTCCACCTGTTCTTATATCTAGACACAAACTCACTGTTGTTGCTAAATAATTTCTTTTGCAAAAGCTCCTTTTTTTTTTTTTTTTCTCTTTTTGGGTCAACCCGGCAATGCTCAGGGGTTACTCCTGGCTCTGCACTCAGGAATTACTCCTGGCAGTGCTCAGGGGACCATATGGGACGCTGGGAATCGGACCTGGATCGGCCACGTGCAAGGCAAACGCCTTACCTGCTGCGCTATCGCTCCAGCCCCTCAGACCATTTTTGGAGTTGTCTTTCAGTAATTTAGTACATGTAATCTTTTTTTCCTTCCTCTTCCTGACCTGTTATGAATTAAAGCGGGAACATTTGCAGCCCGCACAGCAGACATACCAAGCTGGTTGCGAGGCAATTTGGAGAGGCAGTGCTTGAAGGGTGCTGGAGAGCGGTTCTGGCTCTTGAGTCAGGCTGAGCTGGAACTGAAAGTTGCCTCCATCCTTACATCTTTGGGAACAGATGACGTCCCTTCTCCTTAGCTTCCCGGGGTGTCAAGTAATAATGAAATGCCTATTTCTGAGGATTTTGGGGGGAATTAAATCATCTGGTACATGCAAATGCAGACACAGTTAATGTTTAGTCAGGAACAGCCAAGGTGTTTTGTGACTTGGGAAGTCCAGTATCTTGAGAGATTAAAGCCTACCCTTGACTTCAGATCCCACTTGGGAATTATAAGAGGTAATAATGCATGTAGTAAACCATGTCTCTGAACTTATTTGAACTATTAACTTGTATCATACATATCTCCTTTAAGAAAAAAAGCCACCCAGATTTGCAGTTTATGTACAGCAAAATATATGTTTGAAGTACATAGCTTGATAAGTACATATACCTGTGTAACTAATCAGTCACGGTCCTCCCATTGTTCATCGATTTGCCCGAGCGGGCCCAGTAACGTATCCTTTGTGAGACTTGTTGTTACTGTGTTTAGCATATCGAATACGTCGCGGGGAGCTTGCCAGGCTTTGCCGTGCGGGTGAGATACTCGGTAGCTTGCCGGGCTCTCCAAGAGGGGCGGAGGAATCGAACTCGGGTCGGCCGTGTTGGCTGCGTGCAAGGCAAACGCCCTACCTGCTGTGTAATTGCTCCAGCCCATGTAACTAATAGTGATCAAAATATAGAATATTTTCATTTTTGCCTCCAGAAGTTCCTTCATTCTCAGTGTAGGTCAACTTCCCCCTACTCCCCCCCCACCCCACTTTTTAAATAGATATTTTTCATGACATAACTGTAGGTAGGACCAAGATTCAAACCCAGGTTTAGCTGACGTAAAACTCATGTTCCTAAAGCACTCATTTTTCTGAGTGTTTGTTCCCACATTTGTTTATTCGTTTCTTGTTTGAGGGGGGTTCGTTTTGGGGGGCATTTATCTGTGTTAGGGGCTCTTTCTGGCTCTGTGCTTAGGAGTGAACCCTGACAATGATCATGGGTCCATTGCCGCCTGTATGGGAGGCAAGTGCCCTACCCCCTGTGCTATCTTTCTGGCCCTAGTTCTCACATTTCTTATTGGATAATATTTGTATTGGGATTTACCCAAAGCCCTGTGCTTCCTGTTCAGTTGTGGCAATCTAGCAAGTAGTCATTAGCCTCTTAGGAAATCTTTACTCCCTATATATATTTTTTAACTTTTTGATTTTTTTTTGTTTGTTTTGCTTTGGGGCCACACCCGGCAGTATTCAGGGGTTACTCCTGACTGTGCTCAGCGACTACTCCTTGTGGGCTGGGGGTACCTCTTGGGATGGAATGCGGGTCAGACATTTGCAAGGCAGATGCCCTTCCCACTGTACTATCTCTCCAACCCCTATTTTGACTTTAAAACTTTTCTGAGGGTTGGATTTGTTTTTTAGAATACAACCAGCAGTGCTCAAGGGCCACTCCCAGTTCTTCGCTCATACCAGGGATCTAACCTCGGCCTCCTGAATGCAGAGCATACACTCAGTCATTTGAGGTGTCTCTCTGGCCCTATGACTTTCCTTCCTGGGCGGCAGTCAGGATGGTCTCCCAGGCAGTGCTCAAGGGATCCCGGAGCCTCTCCTGGCAATATGAGGCCCAGCTGTTTAGACCTGATGGTTTTGTGCTAAGGCTCGTGATTAGGGGTTTCGTAGGGCTGCCAGTGCTATGGGGCACCAGTTATGCCTGGCAGTGCTTTGGGTGCCACATGGTGTGAGAAATTGAACTTGGGGCCATGTTCATGTATTCCACGCTTTCAGTTACCTCTCTGGCCCCACTTTTTTGTTTGTTTTGTTTGGTAGGCCATACCCAGCAATACTCAGGGCTTGCTCCTGGTTCTGTGCTCAGAAGCCCGGTGGACCATACGGGGTGCTGGGGATGAAACCCAGGTTGTCCACGTGCAAGGCAAGTGCCCTGCTCGCTATACTATCTCTTTGGCCCCAATCTGGTCCCACTTCAATACTCTTTTTTAATTTTGAACGTGGTCAGTGTTTTAAATATCCTTTACTTTTCCTAGGTTATAGATATTGAATATGAAAATAAATTATTGTCTCTGGACTGTAAAACCAATTATTAATGCCTAAATTTATTAACTATATAATTCTGTTTATTTCCCCAGTTTTTCTCATGGTTTGCAAAACTGCAAACTCAAATGGATCAGGATGAAGAAACTAAATATAGGTATGTGGGTCTTGCCTATGCTAGTTGTCCTAATTTTTAGGTCTCAGTCATCTGAAGCATTTCATAAGGTGTCTTTAAATAAAATGGAGGTGCAAAGAAAAATTCCACGAAAAGGTTTTCTTGAAGTGTAGTGAGAAAGAATTAGGGTAATTATAATTGGTTTGAGGGTTGTATGATTACATTATGAATAATAGATTAAGAGGGGTACACATTGATTTTTATTTTTATTTTATTTTTTTTTGCTTTTTGGGTCACACCTGGAGATGCTCAGGGGTTACTCCTGGCTCTGCACTCAGGAGTTACTCCTGGCGGTGCTCAGGGGACCACAGGGGATGCTGGGAATCGAACCCGGGTTGGCCATGTGCAAGGCAAACACCCTACCCGCTGTGCTATCTCTCCAGCCCCCCCCCACATTGATTTTTTTTAAATATTTCTAGAAAGGCTTGTATTCAAAGGCATTTAGAGGAACTCTTAAGAGGCATTTATTGCCTTTCTTCAGGAGAGACCCAAGAGACTTTATGTGTGGCTTTCTGGATTTGGTGTTACAAATTAGGTAGCTATATTACATTGTTTATGTGTGTCAATAACATGGCGGAAAATGATGATCATGTAATTTTTAGATGATTTGGAGACTGTGGGTTGAGCATTTGTATTTGCCTTTTACATTAAGTGACTGCTATTGCTAGGCTTTCTGTTTGCCTCTGATGAAGATTCCATTTATTCTTCATAGTAGCTCTGTAAGGAAAGTTTTTTTATTTTATAATAAATAAACTGAGATACTCGGTAATTCCTCTACTGGCTTGGAGGTTTTGGCAGAGTTGAGACTTGGACACACGTCTTCTAAGTCTAGAATTCTTTCTTTGATGATAAGTCCATTTCTCAAAGGTAGAAGTGAAGTGACCTGAGCAGTTGACCTGTTTGAGGCTTTGGAACGGGCTTTGTGTTCATGCTTTGAAAGTTGAGCCAGTGATTTATTGTCTTACATGTGAAGTGCCAGTTCTCAGCTTCAAGTCAGATTCCTTCTGTTGCTCATAGTTTTAGTGGTTTTCAGTGGTAAGTATAGAAAGAATTGTGGCATAGCTTTTAGTGTGTATCTGGTATAGTCCACTTCAGTGAATAGGTCAGACTTTCCTCCTGAAATTCAAGCATTTGGGGAAAACTGAGACTTTGTTATTGATTGACTGTGCTTACCGGGGGAAAATATTATTGCCAATCCCCTTTTGATTCTGTTTTTTAGACAGATGAGGGATTACTTGTCTGGGTTTCAGGAGCAGTGTGATGCTATATTGAATGATGTAAACAGTGCTCTTCAGCATCTGGAATCATTGCAGAAACAGTATCTTTTTGTGTCCAATAAGACAGGAACCCTACATGAAGCCTGTGAACAGCTCCTCAAAGAACAGGTAATTTGGAGGAGGAAAAAGGATCAGTGGTTCTTTCTCCCTACCGCCCATGATCTCCCTTCTCTCTGTCCATCCGTCCGTCTGTCCATCCATCCGTTCATCCATCCTTCCTGGTCCCAGGGGTCTAACCCAGGACCTCACACAGATGTAGAGTGGTGCATGCTTTCTAAGCCCTTAGATGCATCCCAAGCCTCAGTGATTATTTTTAATATTTTATTTGAAAGCATGTAAACATGATGTAATTCTAATTTCCTTAATTTTTCTAAGTTTATGTTTAACATACTTCTGTGTGAGGTTTTGTGTTTACATTATTGCATTGTCAGTCTGCTCTTATTTTAACAAGTGAATGTGAGTAGAGAAGAAGACCATCTTTGTTGCATTTTGAGCTGTTGAGTGCTGATAGGTTTCATAAAGAAGATGTTTTCTTTTGTTGTGACTGCTCTTTATTGACACTTCTCAAATGAACATATGATTGCAGTATGGGGAACATCTGTGGAAAGATGACCTTAATCTAGGTTGTCCTTAAAATTGTATCTTTTATATAAATACAAATATTCTAGATTTAAGTCATTATCTTTATCTTAGTTTATCTTAAGGGCATACGTAATTTGCTGTTTGTAGAAGTCTTTGAATGTTATCCAAAATTCTTATGTCAGATATGTATCTATTTAATTTTGGAATTGGAGCGTTAAGTTTATGTTCTTATAGTAACTGACTTTTTTTCTCCTTTTAAAAAAATGCAAGTCGGAACTTGTTGATCTGGCTGAAAATATTCAACAAAAGCTTTCCTATTTTAATGAATTGGAAACTATTAACACAGTAAGCATTGTTTTTTACTTTTTATGAAATTAGTGACTACTTTTGCTTCCCTTTCTGAGTGTAATATTTAATTTTATAAATAAGCTTTATAAAAAGTTTAATTTTAATAAACAGACTCGTAATTTTTAAAATCTGTTACTGTCACTGAAATATCCTTTTGGGTTACCTCTTGCTGTATCTTATTTATACATTGAAGAAAATTATGAGAAATATTTAATATTAAATCTTGCTTTGGTTGTGCTATAATGGTTATCAGAACATTAAAAATTTTATGTTGCTAGGGGAAAAGGGAGCTTAGATAGAGAAGGGAGCACCAAATAAAGGGTGTTGGGAGGATCCTCCCAGGATGGGAGAAGCATGCTGAAAGTAGACTATAGACCGAACATGATTGCCACCCAATGCCTCTTTTGCAAACCACAGCACCCAAAAGGAGAGAGAGGACAAAAGGGAATGCTCTGCCACAGAGGCGGGGGCGGGGGGGGGGGAGGTGGGGAGATGGGGGTGGGAAGGATACTGGGATCAGTGGTGGTAGAAAATGGGAACTGGTGGAAGGATGGGTACTCTATCATTGTATAATTGAAACCCAAGCACAAAAATTTGTAAGTCTACAATGGTACTTCATGGTGTTTCACTAATAAAAATTGAAAAAAAATTTCATGTTTAGTTTGAGGAAAAATGCAGTCTATATAAAACATAGTTGTATTCCAAAGTAATAGTCTCATTAAAGACTGCTGACTGAAATGCATTTCTAGGTGCTTCTGGCTTATTAAGAAGTAAATACATATAAATCATGTTATTATGATAACTGAGTCCGTTGTAATAGCTTGCCAAAGGAAAGTAAAACTAGTAACCAGTTAACAGTGGAATGCAGTGAGAAATTATATAATGTTCAATCTGTTTGTATAGTAATATAAGAAATAATAGGGTGGTTTTAGTAATACTTCACATGTATGTTACTTGCATTTATGTACTTATAGTAACTTAATTTTATGCTTTTATGTATTCATAGACGTTTTCATATTATGTACCATATTGGTTAAGCTTAGAATGTAGCATGTGTACTTAGGTTTGCTTATATTGTTGCATGTATGTTACATTTTACTTCGATAACTGTGACTGACAGTTCTTTAATTTGAGAGAATTGTCAGTATTTAAAGAATAAAGTTTATATATGTTGTAAAGTACTAGAAAATATGAAGTTTAGGTTCTTGATGTATTATTTTAATGTTGTATTTGGGACTAGTAGAATTTCTGCTATATTGTCAAGAATTAAGAGTTAAATTGTGTTGGGCTGGAGTGATAGTACAGTGGGTAGGGCATTTGCCTTGCATGTGGCCGACCCAGGTTCTATTCCCAGCATCCCATATGGTCCCCTGAGCATTGCCAGGAGTAATTCTTGAGCGCAAAGCCAGGAGCCATGTGCATCGCCAGGTATGACCCAAAAAGCAAGAGTTAAATTGTGTTAAATTTAGTTCATTAGAAAAAGTGTTGCATGAGTTGAGTCAGTATTCATCTTTCACTGTCTCTGTCTTCCCGTTGTTCATCGATTTTTGCTCGAGCGGACCCAGTAACATTGTGAGACTTGTTACTGTGTTTGGCATATCGAATACATCACGGGGAGCTTGCCAGGCTTTGCCGTGTGGGCGAGATACTCTTGGTAGCTTGCCAGGCTCTTCGAGAGGGGCGGAGGTATCGAACTCGGGTCGGCCATGTTGGCTGCATGCAAGGCAAACGCCCTACCGCTGTGCTATCGCTCCAGCCATTCATCTTTATTTGTCCTTATTTAAAAACATTTTTGTTTTTAAATAAAAGATGGTCTGTGGGTTAGGCACTTGTATTATATGTGTCTGATCGGGGTTTAATCCCTGGCATACCCATATGATCCTGCTGAGCACTGCTAGAAGTGATCTGTTAGCCCAGAGCCAGGAGTAAGCCCTGAGCACCCCACCCCACTGTGAGGTGTGGCCCCCAAATAAAAATAACCAACATTTTTATAGGTGCCTTATCAAGTGATGCGAGGGGTGTAGGGTCACTTCTGGGCAGAGCTAGGATGGCATGGGCTGCTAGGAGCCATGTGGTGGTGGGGCTAAACTCAGGACTTTGCACATGCTACACAAAGTAGCTTAAAATGTAAAGACTATTACTGTACTGTGTTATCCTAAGTGTAGTATACGAATCCTAACACACGTTTTTTTACTCTCAGCTATATATTTTCTTGTAAATTAAGATAATTTTTGTTTGTTTCTTTAAAGAAATTGAATTCTCCTACATTGTCTGTGAATAGTGAAGGATTTATACCTATGCTGGCCAAGTTAGATGATTGCATATCTTATATCTCATCTCACGTAAGTCATAGTATTTCTGTATGTTTTAAAGAAATCTTAACATACTTGTGTTAATTCTTGTGCTGTAAAGTAAACATTACTTCTGCTTTTAAGAAACACACACACAAAAAACCTATATAAATTCTTAGTCATTGTCAGCAGTGATATAAAAGCTGTTTTGAACTTTTGAGGCGACTCCTGGGGGTGACAGAGATGCTGGCTGGCACAGATTTATCCTACGTGAGGGGATGAATGACATGTGGGTTGTTGACTTCCTGTGGTGCTAACACATCTCTGGATGCAGACGTTGTTATTGGGTAGAAATGAAAGGAGCAGCCCTTGATTTAATCAGTGTTTTGATTTTCCTCAAGGATCAATAGGTCTGGGGCCAGAGCGATAGTACAGTGGATAGGGTGCTTCCTTTGCACGCTGCCAACCCGATTTCGATCTCTGGCATGCCATATAGTCCCCTGAGTACTACCAGGAGTAATTCTTGAGTGCAGAGCCAGGAGTAATTCTTGGCATTGCCAGATGTGACCCCCAAACAAAAACAAAACAAAAGGATCAGTGTGTCTGTTTATTTTCCCCCAACTTAATTTTTTTTTTCCCTTTGGGTTAGTCATAATAACTTTTTTTTGGGGTGCGGGGGTCACACCCAGTGATTCTCAGGGGTTAGTTAGTCCAGGTTCTGCACTCAGGAAGTACTCCTGGTGGTGTTCAGGGGACCATCTGGGATCGTGGGGATCGAACCCAGGTTGGCCATGTGCATGGCAAATATCTTACCCTCTGTACTGTCACTTCGGCCCATAGTCATATTAACTCTGAAGTCTGAGAGAGGGATACTGAAGATATATTTTGCTACCTGCTTTGTGCAAAGCATGGGGTATTGGCAGTAACTGAGACAGGTGCACTATTCATCTTCATGGAGCTTATTGTCTAAGATATTCTTTGGAAATTTTTGGTAACTTTACATAAAGGACATGTTGGTTTTTATTAGAAGTTTTTTTCCTCTTTGTAAATCTTTCTTTTTCCTTTACAGCCAAATTTTAAAGATTATCCTGTTTATTTAATGAAGTTTAAGCAATGTCTTTCTAAAGCTTTGCATCTAATGAAGACATACACTGTGAACACACTACAAAACCTCACAAATCAGTTATTAAAAAGGGTGAGTTAACTGGTGAGGTTGGGTTTAAAAACATTTATCGTCCATAATCTTAATTTAAGATCAATTTTTTAAAACTTATATAAATTTCTTTTAAATATATTTATTAAGTACATGCATAAAAGTTTTATTTGTAATAGAAAATAAGTCCATATTGTATGATCCATCAGTTTTATTTTCAAAAATATGTCACAGAAGGAATAGTATTGTTATATGATAAGTAATAAGACTACAGTTATTTGTCACTCAAAAATATTTACTTGTCTTTCACATGAGAAGATTGGAAGGAAGTACACCAAAATAATAAAAGTGGTCTGAAGGGTGGGATAATATATGGGTAGTTTCATTTTCTGTACTTAATATATTTTTATTAAATTTCTCCTAACTGAGGGGACCTTCTATTATGAACTATACAATAACATCAAAAAAGTGGGCAGAATTTCTGCTCTGTGGGAGCTTTATATTTAGGGAAAACAGTGAAGAAGGAAACAAAGTAATCAGTAATTACTTTGATTTTAATAGATGTTAGGTAGAAAATTAGGGTGTTAGCTTCAAAAATAAGAGTAAAGCTAGTTAGGATGATCATTGAGCATTTTTTTATTGAGCATGATTCTCCTTTCCTGAGAATACAAAGCCATAAAGATTTTTTGAAAACTTTGATGCTGTGGTTTACAAAGTTCTTCTTAATGTAGTTGTTTTGGGCATTCAGTATCCCAGCTCCAATCTCACCACCAGTGTGACCTTCCCTCCACCATTGTTCCGTTTCCCATCCACCCTCCAAAATTGTATTGCGTCCAATGCAGTTTCTCTCAGCCAGGTGTCATACGACTCCTACTGGGCCCTGAGGATATTTCAAGTGGGTCACAGGTGAAAATTGTTATAAATGGTGTGCCATGACATGAGGGTAGGGTGTCAAGCCGTTGGACAAAGTCCCATGATACTGGAAGGGAATGGGTTGAAGATGGACACAGCCAGGAAAAGGTTGAGAATATGTATATGTGCACAGAATCATAGGTTAAACATTTGTGCAGTGTCCTCAGTAAGTGACCAACTATAGATCTGAATTCAGTCTGTTTACTGTTAAAGTTTTTATAGGGCAGAGTAGAAATTAATTACAAAGAGGAAGGAAAAAATTCTACCTAATTAGTTTTCATTTGTGGCCATATTCATATTTAATATTTCAGAGATTTTTCTCTCAAAGCTTTTGGTGGGGATAGGAAATGCTACATTTTCTGAAAAATTAGTTGTTTGTTAATTATCATCTTTTGTTTTTTTTAGGATCCTTCATCTGTACCGAATGCGGACAATGCCTTCACTCTATTTTATGTGAAATTCAGAGCTGCTGCCCCCAAAGTTAGAGTGAGTCTATTGACATAAATAAGATCTTGCTATGAAATTTATTGTATAGACATTTTTAAATACTTCTGCCAGCCAATGGGAAATTAATTTTAAAAGGAAAATAAAAAGAATAACATAAAAGTTAGATGTTCTGAGTTTTACATTGTGAAAGAAAATTTATTTACTTTAGGTTTTTCGACCACATCTGGTGATGTTAAGGAGTTAGTTGGCTTAGCCTTCAGGAATCACTCTTGGCAGCGCTCAGGGGACCATCTGTGGTGTAAGGGATTGAACCTGGGTCAGTCACATGTAAGACAAGTACCTTGTCCACTATACTGTCGCTCCGGCCCCTACACTGATTTTTTTTTTTCCTAAATGCAGATCGAAAAAACATTTGGTGTAATTGTTTCAAGAAACATATAGTGATTGTGTGTGTATATGTCATCTGAATGATGGCACCACATATGATCCCCTGAACATCTCGGGAGTAGCCCCAGAACCATTCCACCGCTAAAAGAAAAATCTGAACGAATGTTCAAAAATAATAATTGATTGACTTTTAGTCTCATTGTTGATTTAGATTTTGTTTTGTTTTGGGACATACCAGCGGTGTTCAGAGCTTAGTCCTGCCTCTGTGTTCAGGGATTACTCTTGGCAGTGCCAGGGATCAAACCTGGGTAGGCAGCATGCAAGGCAAGCACCTTATACCCTGGCCCTGTACTAGCTTTTGCACTCGTACTGTGTTTTGTTTTTGGGCCACATTTTCTGTATTCAGGGCTTACTCCTGGCTCTGCTGTCAGCGACCACTCCAGGCAGGCTTGGGAGACTATATATGGTGCTGGAGATTGAACCAGGTTCAGCCATTTGCAAGGCAACTGCTATACCTGCTATACTGTGTTTCTGACTCCCATCTTAAAGTAAATATTTAAAAGTTTTTTGTTTTGGGCCACAGCCAAGCGGTGCTCAGAAATTGGTCCCAGCTCTGTGCTCAGGGATCACTGCTGATGGGGCTCAAGAGACCATCTGTGGTGCTGGGGATCAGGAGTGAGCAAAAAAAGTGCCTTAAACCTTGTACTCTTCTTTCCTCATGGCTTTTCAGCTTTTTTGTTTGTTTGTTCGTTTGTTTGTTTTGTATTTGGGCCATCTAGCCATGCTCAGGGATAACTCCTGGCTCTGTACTCAGGGATCACTCCTGGCAGGCTAGGGAGACCACATGGCATCCCAGGATCAAACCTGGATCAGCTGTGCACAAGACAGACACCTCACCTGTTCATTATACTGTCTCTCCGGCCTCTAAAACAGATTTTAAAATAGATTTTTCTTTATTCTACAGACTCTTATTGAGCAGATAGAACAACGGTCTGAAAAAATACCCGAGTGAGTATTCTGGAATCCTTTAATTTCCAAGTGACCTTCCCCGAAGTACTACTTTGTTCAAGTACACTACATCCTTGGTATTTCAGTGCTGCTGCCTCACAGCTTGGAAAGCTTTTGTCTTGTACTTATCTTGTACTTAACTAGGCAAGCTTTTCCCTTTGTATTTGACAGAGCAAGATTATCTGACCTAACTAGTTAGGAGGGCATCTCTTTTTCCCATAGCAGGCTTGCCTTCTCGCAGATGGATTTTGTAGAACTCACTTTCAGGGGCTGGGAGAGTGCTCAGACGTCTGAGGTGCATGAGGGGGCATGTGAAAACCCCAGATTCAATTCTCAGCACCTCGTGGTCCCTGAGTGTCACTCGGGTGGCTCTGGTGACCCCTAATAATATTGGGCCTCAACAGCAGCGTAGTGATTAATATTGCTGGTTCTAGCCCCTGGCCCCCCTGACTGCTTAGGTGAACCCCATCTCCCCACAGAGCCCACCACTTTTGGATAGTAAATCTTGTCCCCTTCAGTGCCAGGGCCCCAGTGTTCTAACATGCAAGGCCTGTGCCCTATAGCCGAGTCACCTTCTGGACCCTTGGACAACGAATGTTTTGTTTTCTGTCTTTGGGCTGAACCAGTGATTCTTGGGAGTAACTCCTAGCATAGTTCTTGGGTGTCCCCTCCCCTGAGCCTAAGTGTCAGCACTTGGAGCCATCTCTCTGGCTCCTGGTGAATCATTTTTTTAAAAGATAAGGGTTTGATGCCACAGTTCATTATGACTTTGATTTATTTATTTGAGTGGAGGTGGGTGGTTTGGGTTCTACCCAGTAGTCCTTAGGGGTTACTCGCAGCTCCAAGCATGGGGTTTACTCCTGGCAGTGTCTTGGGAGACCATGTGGTGCTGGGGAGAGCCCAGGGCTTCTGTGTGAAGCACTTCCTCCAGCCCATTGGGCTCTCTCCATTCCCGTGGTCAGTCTGTCTTTCTTTTTTGGTTTTGGGGTCATACCCAATGTAAGGGGTTACTTCTGGCTCAGAAATTTTTCATGGCGGCGTTCAGAGACCGAGGATTGAACCCAGGTTGGCTGCATGCAAGGCAAGTGCCTTACTCGCTCTGTTACTGCTTTGTCCCCTTATTTTTCTTCTCTGAATATTTCTGATTCTTTCTATAAATATTTTGAGTATTTAATATGGGCATATTTGAGATGGCTGTCTAGTGTTAGAGGTTTGGCAGCAAATTCTGGGATTTAAGGTTTAATTTATGTGTCTAAAAATCAGAAGTTTGACTCAAATCTTATTCACTCTTTATCAGATACCAACAACTACTAAATGATATCCACCAGTGTTACCTTGATCAGCGGGAGCTCCTTTTGGGCCCTAGCATTACTTGTACTGTAACAGAATTAACCAGCCAGAATAACAGAGATCATTGTGCCTTGGTAAGCCACTGCTTGGTTTAATGTTAAGCATTCCTCCGAGTGTTTTGATGTGTAGAAGCTATACCTGGATAAATAAGTTTTCACGTATCTGCAAACTTAAAATACTTTCATAGTAATGACAGTTAAAAAATTGAATTTAACTTGGTAAAATAGTCTCATTTTGATCTGTAACTTGATAAGTTTAAGTACTCATGAATAATATCTTGGAAGTTTGTGGCTTTGTATTGATGGTTTAATCTTATTTTTTGTTACAGAAGTAGTTTTTTTATTTGAATTTACATATATTAATAAAAAGTTTTTGTTTTTAATTGAATCACAGGGAGATACAGTTAGAAAGTTGTTTATGATTGGGTTTCTGTAATATAATGTTCCAAGTAGTAGCTCCTTGAGTGTGATTATAATTCATGCTATAGAAAAATACCTGAAGATTCTTCTTATAAGTTACCTTTTCACTGAGAAGTGATTTATTTTCATTGTCAAAAATCTTAAAAGCAAAGCATAAAGAAATTAAAGATCATTCCCATTCCCATTCCCATTCCGTAGCACACCATCGAAAACCAGTCCTTCAGCCCCATTTCATTCTTTTCCTTCTATTTTTTGAGGGGAAGAGGTGGCTTATGGGAGCTTAGCAGTGCTCAGGGAGCCCTGGAGTTCCTCCTGCAATACTTTGGCTAGTAGCTCCATGCAGGAGCCTGACGCTCGGATCTTGGGCCCGGTGCTGCTCTACTTGGAGTGAGGCCATGTGATACCAGGGTTCAGATTTGGGTTCCCTCTGATTCATCTCCCCTGCCCCCTGCCTTTTCTTTTGTTCTTTAATAAACAAATTATTTTGTTCCTATATACACATCATCTTGTAAATGAAATACTAGCTTTATAAATGTGGGAAGCATTGCATGTCTGTAACTGGAAGAATGTTTCTTTCCTACAGATTCGCAGCGGCTGTGCTTTTATGGTTCATGTATGCCAGGATGAGCACCAACTCTACAATGAATTTTTCACAAAGCCAACACCAAAATTAGAGTAAGTGGTATATAGACTCTAACTCTTGTTTCTCATACCTGGTTTGCTAATGGCCACAATGGCTTATTTTAGTATTCTAAAATTAGCTGATGAGTGTTTGGACTTTTGTAAGTTTATTAACAGAATACTGTTAGGTGAGAGAGTGGATATTTACTAAATTTTGTTGTTTGTTTTTTTTGGGGGGCCACACCTGGCTGTGCTTGGGGTTTACTCTTGGTTCTCTGCCCAGGGATCACTTCAAGCAGTGCTCAGGGGTCATTATATGGTGACAGGTTGTGAACCCTTGTTGATTGCATACAAGGCAAGAGCCCTCCCCCCTGTACCACCTCTCTCGTCCCTCAAATATCTTTCTGATCTACTGTTTGTCACTTATAACTTCTTCATTAGTAACCATTTTGACTTGTACAAGGATTCAAGGTTTTAATTAAGGTTATTAATTGTAATGGTGAACAGTATCTTAAGGTTTTGATTGGGTTAATCCCTTTTGATGAATTACTTTTTTTTTTCAATTTTTAAGATTTTTTTGCTTTTTGGGTTACACCCGGCAATGCACAGGGGTTACTCCTGGCTCTGCACTCAGGAATTACCCCTGGAGGTGCTCAGGGGACCATATGGGATGCTGGGAATCGAACCTGGGTTGGCCGCGTGCAAGGCAAATGCCCTACCCGCTGTGCTATTGCTCCAGCTCCTGATGAATTACTTTATGGAGTACTGTTGACAATGTGAAGAATATAGATAGTCAAATGTTCAAACTTGTCAAAATACTTGCTGTACTTTGTTGATGTTCACCTAAATTCCTAAGCATGCGGGGATTCTTATAAATTAAATAATTTATAAATTCTAATAAATTAAATTCTTATAAATTAAGTAATATAAAAATTCTATAAGCCTACCTTTCCTGGAGAACTATTTGATTCACAGTGATGTAGAATATTAAGGACAATAAGTTCACTGAACTTAAAGTGTATTTGAAATGACATATCCAGATAGTGCAGAAATAAGTAAATGTCGCAGTGCATTGACGTTGACGGGAATTGCTATTGATTCTAAGCTTTTAAAGCAAGAATTACTTTTTTAGCCTTTTATTTCTTTTTTTAAAGGTCCTAAGTACTGTTTTCTCACATTTATGTAGTTTTTGTTGGATGGGAGAAATCAATTATGATTTTTTTTTTTTTTTTTTTTTGCTTTTTGAGTCACACCTGGCAATGCACAGGGGTTCCTCCTGGCTCTGCACTCAGGAATTACTCCTGGCAGTGCTCAGGGGACCATATGGGATGCTGGGAATTGAACCCGGGTCGGCTGCGTGCAAGGCAAATGCCCTACCCGCTGTGCTATCTCTCCAGCCCCTCAATTATGATTTTTAAAAAATTTGTTTTATTTGGGAGAAATTGGGCCACATCCAGCAGTGCTCAGGGGCTTTTTCTAACTCTTTGCTCATGAGTGACCCCTGTCATTGCTCTGAGAACTGTATGTGGTGTATATATATATATATATATATATATATATATGTGTGTGTGTGTGTGTGTGTGTGTGTGTGGGTGTGTGTGTGTGGGGCGGTCAGGGGGGTGTCTTGAACCGTTTTTGTCCCCGTGCAATATAAGTCCCTTACCTGCTATACTCTCTCTCAGCCCCAGATGCATTCTTGGCTATTCAGAAAATTGTGAAAAGATTACTACTGTTGACAGTTTTGTATTTTCTTTCCTTAGTGAGCTTTTGGAGAAGCTGTGTGTGTCATTGTATGATGTCTTCAGGCCATTGATTATTCATGTTATTCACTTAGAGACTTTATCAGAACTTTGTGGTATTCTTAAAAATGAGGTGCTTGAAGATCATGTACAGAACAATGGTAAGAAGTAAAGAGAATTGATCACTTAAAAGGTTCTTTTAATTATATTTGTGACTTAATGAATTTGCAAAATATTTCTCTTATTCTCTGCCCCACTCACTTAGTAACATTTAAAATATTTGAAGCCTGGGTTTGATGTCTTGCCCCTTTCTGGGGGGGAAAAAAAAGATACTTTATTTTGTGACTAAGTAGTAAATTAAATGGAAAAAGAATTTTAAAATGTGGTCCAGATTAGTAATTAAAACAGTTGGTTACTTTTCTTTCTGATTTTTGAAGTTCAGAGAGAACTGGCTATCATTTTTGGATTAGACATTTTTAGAACATTGGTTCCGGAATATATAAAATAACTAAATTCTACTCTGAATTTAAGAATAAATTATTTCAACATACATAGCAATGAATAAAGAATAGCGGTTCTGGGCTGGAGCTATAGTACTACAGATGGGGCATTGGACTTGCATGTGTTAAACTCGGGTTTGATCTCCTGCCCCATGAGGTCCCCCGAGTACCAATAGGGGTGACCCTGAGTACAAACCGAGGAGTAAGTCCTGAGTGCTGTTGGCTGTGCCCCCAAAACAAAAACAAAAAACAAAACAAAAAAAAAGGGGAAAGAAAAGCAGTTCTTGAAGATTTTATTTCGTATAGATTGATTTTCCTAAAGATACCTTTGTAGCTTGTAAAAAAACACTCTTTGATCATTTTTCTGGCAGAAATCAATTATTCTTCCTCCACTTTGTTTAGGAGACAATATGGGCTTGTTACTTTTCCAAGGCTTTTTATTCCGAGATGCACATCTTTCCTATTTTGATGCTTCTGAATAAATTCATCTTAAAAGATGGGTAATTAATGTGAATATTTTTTATTGTGTGGTACTTTCGACTCCATGGCCTTTGGGGAGCTATTATTGAGTTACCTTTGTGTCTCCTCATTAGTGACATCAGAGAGGTGAGAAAATTCTATACAGACATCTCTCTTTATTTTTTTTGTGAAATTATTTAATTTCATTTAGTGTCTGTGAGACTCAATTTTTTTGTAAAGTAAAATGATACAAAATAAGCTGCCTTAGCTCTCTATTAGGACTGTCTGAAGTGATATAAATTAACTTTTACACACAATGCTCTTTCTTTTTACGGTACTAGAAATAATTTCACAGGATCTCAGAAAGAAAATGTAGGGGCAATTTTATTTTCATACTTTAAAGTTGAGCAAATTAAAAGGCATTGAAGTTTTAATTTTTGTTAGTTTTGGGCCACACCTGGTGTGGTGCTCAGGACTTACTCTTGGCTCCTCGCCAAGAGTGATCAGGGATCACTCCCGGCAGGGCTCGTGGGGGACTTATGGAGTGCCAGCGATTCAGTGAGTCAGTGCATGCAAGGCAAGGCAATAGTACACCCTGTACTATTGCTCTGCCCCTAAAGTTTTCTAAGGTTGTTAAATCGGAATGAAACCAAATACAGTCAGTCACTGAAGCAGAAATGGTTTGTCCTATTACTGAGTCACTTAGTAAGTTTGCTTGTTTAAAGAAAGTATTTTTCTATATCTAAAGGAATGGATGATTGCACTTTTTTACCAGCTGAACAACTGGGGGCATTTGCGGCAGGAGTGAAGCAGATGTTAGAAGATGTCCAGGAGCGGCTTGTCTATCGAACGCACATCTACATCCAGACCGACATCACGGGCTACAAACCCGCTCCTGGAGACCTGGCGTATCCTGATAAGTTAGTGATGATGGAGGTAGGGGCTCCTCACTTGATCGTCCCCCTCTGCCCCCAGCTTTTAGATATTTTACTAGGTAAAATAGGGGTTAATTACTTTTACTTTTGGCTCTAGCCATAACTTCAAGATATATTTGCCATCAAATCTAAGAAATGAAATCAAGAGAGAACAGAATCATGAGGACAGAAATAATTTGTTATTTTCCCTTCCAGTTGGATTCTGTAAACTTGATATTCAGTTCCTTTCCTTTTTCTAGAAGATGCCATTCTTAGTGTTTTGTTTTAGACCACACCTGGCAGTATTCAGAAGTTATTCCTGGTTCAGTGCTCAGGAGTCGTGCTTAGCAGTACTCAGGAGACCGTGCGGTGCCAGGCCTCCTGTGGTAAAGCGTGTTCACTAGCCCTTTGAGCTATCTCCCTGGCCCCTACATTTTCTGTTTTCAGCTCAATTAGAGCTTTTTGTGATTGCTTTTTAAGTTGTCATGATTTTGTTTTTGGGCCACATCTTGCAGTGCTGAGGGCTTATCCCTCACTTTGTGCTTGCAGATTACTCCTTGTGGTGCAGGGGAGTCATATGAGGTGCTTGGGATCAAACCCGGTTGGCTGCATGCAAAGCAAGCGCCTCTCTAGCCTCTGAGTGGTCATTTATATTTATTTGTTTTGGGACTGATCTGGCAGTATGCTCAGGGCTGACTCCTAGCTCTGTGCTCAGGGATCACTCCCGGCGGGCTCAGGTGGCCATATGGGATGCAAGGGTTCGAACCCGGTTCTTCTGCATGCAAGGCAAGCAGCCCTGCCTACTGTATTGTTCTGGCCCCAAGTGGCCTTTTTTTAAAATTTTTTATTTTTGGTGAAGCAAGAAAGTTTTTATTGAAACTTCCTTAGAAAGATGTGAGGGGAACGGGAGAAGTACGTGTTCAAGAAAGAACACGGGCTTCTCCAGTGAAACTAGGCAGGCAGAGAATCATAGAGACAGGCGAGAGAGATGCGTATTCAAGGGAGGACTGAGGCCTGATGAGCAAACCTTGTTTTAAGTGGCGGAACTAGGTTGATAAGAGGATCCGTCGTAGTTGATAATGGTTAACCAGGTGTCATTATTCTCTCATAAGTTGTTTAGATTTTTTCAAACTCAAAGTTAGTGTTGGTATTTTATTGATGATTGGAAGACTGTTTATCTCACAAATTTTTCAGTCACGTATTTGTCTTTATTTTTAAAATAATAATTGTTTAAATAATTTCTAAGGGGCTGGCAGAATGGCTCAGAGGTAGGGCATATGCCTTGCATTTGCAAGTCCCTGGGTTTGATTCCTGGCACTGCGAATGCCTAGAATTTTAGTGCTAAAGCAATTAAAACTTGGTCTTATTCTATAAATAATTTAAGAGGTGTTTTTTGATTTTGATGTTTCATTGACTTACAGTGGGTTTGTGGTATTATGGAGAACTTAAGGGCTTGAGAGTCACATCTCTGTATGTGTGTAATTGCCATCACCCCTCACCCCCAGAGTTCAGCACAGTCTCACCACTGAAAAAGATCCTTCTAATTCTTACCATGCACATACCTATTTGCTCTGGTAACCACTGTAATTTTCACTGGGCTTAGGAATTTTGTTCTTTCTTGCGAGTTTGCTTTAGTAATTCATTTCCCGCATAAGAGTAAAATCATCTGACTTAATTTCCCCGTTTTATTTAGCATAATTACCTCAAGGTCAGTCCATTTTGTTCCAGAGGGCACAATGTCATCCTTTTAATGGTGAAGTTGTTTTCACTTAGCTTCTTTATCCAGTCTTCTATCTGTTGGGCATTTGCTTTGATTCCGTATTTTGGCCATTTTGAGAAATACTGTTGTGGACAAAGGGGTGTTTTCTTTTTCTTTCTTTCTTTTTTTTTTATTAGTGAAACATTATGAGGTACAGTTATAGACTTATAAATTTTCGTGCTTGGGTTTCAGTTATACAATGATCAAGTACCCATCCCTCCACCAGTGCCCATCCTCTACCACCACGGGTCCCAGCATCCCTCCCACCTCCCATCCCCCCCATCCCAAAGGGGTGTTTTCTTATCCTTTGAATAAATGCTTAGGAGTGGTATTGGTAGATCATAGGGAATATTTCCCCCTATTTTTATTGAGGTAGCACCGTAGCACTATCCTCCCGTTGTTCATTGATTTGCTCGAGCAGGCACCAGTAACGTCTCCACTGTGAGACTTGTTGTTACTGTTTTTGGCATATCAAATATGTCACGGGTAGCTTGCCAGGCTTTGCCATGTGGGCGGGATACTTTCAGTAGCTTGCTGGGCTCTCTGAGAGGAACGGAGGAATTGAACCTGCGTCGGCCTCATGCATGGCAAACACTCGACCCGCTGTGCTATCACTCCAGCCCTTTTGTTGAGGTACCATGATTTACAGTATTGTTAGTGTTAGTTAGTTTTCTGCGTACGTTATTCTTTGGTTTTGGGGCTACATCCAGTGATGCTCAGTGGTTTATTCCTGGCTCTGCACTCAGGAATTGCTCCTGGTGGGATTCAGGGTCTCTTATGGGATGCTGGGGATCAAACCCAGGTCAACCACATGCAAGGCGAGTACCCTGCCTGCTATTGCTCCAGCTCCCAGAGTACCCTTTCCCTTTCTTTTTAGTTGATTTATTGGTTTGGGGATCACATCTGGTAGTGTTCAGAGCTTACTCCTGACTCTGCTCAAAGATCACTGGGATACTTAGAGTGACACAGGGTGCCAAGGATTGAGCCTGGGTTAGCTGCTCGCAAGGCAAGCACCCTACCTTCTGTACTATCTCTCTAGCCCCAGATACCTGGAACTGTTTTAAATTGATGTTTTTTGATATAAACAAAAATAGAAAAAAATAGACTTTCAAATTATCCTGGACAGTATTTTCCAGTCTTGTTTACATAGGCCTCTCATACATTCTTGTTCCCCATCAATAATTATCTTGGAGCAAATTCCAAGTACTTAGTGGATAACATAAAAGGTAAGAACACTTTCATTTTTATTTCACCCACATATATTTTAGCACAACCACAACATCACACTAAAAAACATCAATTGCAATTCCTTAGTAATACTATTGAGTTGAGTCTAGGTGTTTTTTTTTCCTCAGATTCCTCAGTTGTTAACCATTTTGTCATATTTTGTGTGTGTGCGCCTGTGCATGTGTGTTTATTATAGAACTATTTGCAGGTAACATGCACACATCAGGGCTCTTCACTCTCACATAATACATCTGTCTTTTTTCTCTGAAGAATAAAAACATTCTCCACATAATCACAAAAGTCTTCTATCTCTGGAGATGGACATAATGGCAACTTTATGTACAGTTTCTGTTCAAATTTGCCCATGTATCTTACAATTAGTTGGATTAAAGAATTGAAAAAGTGTGAGCCAGTTGAGGTTACTTTGTTGTATTTTTTGTTGTCTCAATAATCTCTTTAAATCAAATCCAAAATCTGCTTTTCTTTTAGCTTTGTTTTTGTGACAGTTTCATTTTTGAGGTTAAATTAAAAAAATATTTTTAAAAGCAAAAATGTTACATAGCTTATGTCACACATAAGCTACATACTTATTTCTTGGTTCTATCACAGGCAAATAATGTCATCTTGTTTCATTTTGATTAAGGTGGTAATTGGTAGTTCTCTTGAGTATATAAGTGTGTTTTCCCCCTTTGTAATTAGTAATGATGAAATGGTACTTTGAGATTCTGTGAGTTCAATGTCTTTTCACTCAGTGTTTTTGGCAGCCACTAATGATCCTTGGCTGATCCAGTTATTAAGTCAAGGGTTGCGAAGTGATTTTCACATCTGCCGTTTCATCTACATTTATTAGTTGGCATTTTGCTCTAGTTACTTTTCCTTTCTGTCTCTCTTCTCTCTGTCTCTGCCTTGTAATAGACTAGTGTTTTGTGTTTTTTTCAGACAATAATGAAATCCAGTTATTTTTATTTTGTTTACTTTTGTGTTTCCCAAGCAATTCTTCAACAGGCATGGAGGTCCTTTTCTTTCATTTTACAAAATCACAGGATATTGTAAATTTTTATAAAATAAAAATTATTTTTGTTTAATATGTTTACTTTTGTGCCTCCCAGGGAATGCCCAGCAGGCTTAGGGGTCGTTTCCTGGTGCTGCTTAGCCAGTCAGGCCAGACATTTCAGTGTTTTGAAGGATGATATGATGGCGCTTGTATATAGTGGTGCTTGGACCCAGGATCATGAGATGCTAGTGTCAGACTTAAAACTTAGGGCCTCAAACATGCAAGGCATGAATTACAACCCTTTGAGATAATAATTTTATTAATTTGACATATCTGTTGATTTAGGGATAGTAAACCAACTTTTTGCCTCTTGGAATACATCACATTTGTTGTGGTGTATAGTTCTTTTTTATGTTTCTGTATTTGGTTTCCTAGTATTTGCTAATGAAAGGTTTTTTTTTTATTTACATCTGCATTCATAAGACATGCAGATTAATAATTCTCTTTTATTTTGATTTCTTTTTGCAGGGGGGAGGAGGAAGGTTGGGCTGTTCTGGCTCTGCTCAGGAGTGCTCAGGGGACCCTATGCAACAACCAGGGATCAGATTGGGTTCAGCTGCATGCAAAACAAGCACCTTATCTCCTGGCCCCGCTTGATGCTTTAACTGGTTTGGAGCAATATTGGTCTCATAAAACAAGTTGGGAAATTTTGCTTGTGATTTCTGGAAGGATTTGTGGAAAGCTGGTATTCTAGAGAAAGATATGCTGGCTTTCCTAGTAAAGTCATCTGAGCCTAAATTTTTCTTAGTGAAGTTTTAAAATTATTCATTCAGCCTTTTCAGTTGTTATAGGTCTGTTAAAATTACATTTTTCTTCTTGAGTCAGTTTTGATAGCTTGTCTTTCTAGGATTTTTTTTTTTATTTCATCCAAGTTAATCAGTCTATTGATATATGACTCATAGTTGTTACTTTTCCATTTTTTGTTAATGTAAAGTGCTAGTATTCCCTCCTCTCTTATTTTAGTAATTGAAATTTTCTTTCTTTTTACCTTGATCAAGTTAGCCTTCTTTTCTTGAGCAAGATGATGAGGGCCGTCACCTTGTATATTACTTGCATTTGACCTAGAGTCAGGACTGTATGGACCGTGGGCTCAAACTGAGGTCAGGCACATGGCCCTGTACTGTCTCTCTGACCCCACGTTTTCTTATTTTTATCTCATGCTTTTTTGTTTCAGGACCCCACTTAAAGATTCCACATTTTATATGCAGTGGGCGTTTCTTGACTTTCTTTGTTCGTTGATGATTTTGAAGTTTTAAGGAGAACCAGCAGCTCTGTGGTAGGATGCCCCTCCAGCTGCAGTGTATACATTTTTTTCCTCATGGATTAGACTGTTGTTACTGTGGAGGAGAACCAAAGAGGAAGGGCAATTTTCTTTTTCAGTTTTTGTTTTGGGGCCACACCCAGCTGTGCTCAGGACTTATCTTTTTTTTTTTTAATGTTTTTATTAGTGAAACACCATGAGGTACAGTTATAGACTTATAAATTTTTGTGCTTGGGTTTCAGTTATACAATGATCAAGTACCCATCCCTCCACCAGTGCCCATCCTCCACCACCACGGGTCCCAGCATCCCTCCCACCCCCCATCCCCCCATCCCACCCTGCCTCTGTGGCAGGGCATTCCCCCTTGTTCTCTCTCTCTTCTTTTGGGTCCTGTGTTTTGCAAGAGAGGCATTGAGTGGCAATCATGTTTGGTCTATAGACTACTTTTAGCATGCTTCTCCCACCCTGGGAGGGTCCTCACAACACCCTTTATTTGGTGCTCTCTTCTCTATCAGAGCTTCCTTTTCACCTAGCACGTGTGGCTGGCCTTCAAGTCATGAAGCAAAATTCCTGGTACTAAATCTCAGCCATTCCTGGGTGTTAGTCTCCCTTTTTGTTGCTTTATGTTCCCCAGATGAATGCAATCTTTCTGTGTCTATCCCGCTCTTTCTGACTCATTTCGCTTAACATGATACTTTCCATGTAGTACCACTTGTATGTAAATTTCATAACTTCATCTTTTCTAACAGCTACATAGTACTCCATTGTGTAAATGTACCAAAGTTTCTTTAACCACTCATCTGTTCTCGGGCACTCAGGTTTTTTCCAGATTCTGGCTATTGTAAAGAGTGCTGCAATGAACAAACAATTGCAGATGTCACTTCGACTATACCTTTTTGCCTCTCTGGAATATATTCCCAGGAGTGCTATAGCTGGGTCAAATGGGAGATCAAATTCTAATTTTTTGAGAATCGTCCATACTGTTTTCCAAAAGGGTTGGACCAGCCTGCATTCCCACCAGCAGTGAAGGAGGGTCCCTTTCTCGCCACATCCGCGCCAGCACCGGTTGCTTTTGTTCTTGTGGATGTGGGCTAGTCTCTGTGGTGTTAAATGATATCTCATTGTTGTTTTGATCTGCATCACTCTGATGATTAGTGATGTAGAGCATTTTCTCATGTGCCTTTTTGTCAGGACTTATCTGACTCTGCTCAGGAATTACTCCTTGTTGTCTTGTGGGACCATATGGGATGTCAGGGATCGAACCCAGGTTGGCCGCATGCAAGGCCAGCACCTACCCACTGTACTATAATAGCTCCAGCCCCTGGAAGTCCTCCCTCCCTCCCTCCCTGTTCATAATTTGTTTTCAGTCATACAGTTTTCCAGCAGCCATCCTTCCACCAGTGTACATTTTCCAGCACCAGTGTCCTCAGTTACCCTCCCATCACTTACACTCCCCTGTCCCCTCCCCCCCCCCCCCCCCCCCGCCTGCCTCTGTGGCATGCATTTTCTGTCTCTTTAGGAAGTACCATTTTCAATTTTCAACATCTGTGCTATCAACATGATGTAGCGCTGTGGATACTGATCTTGATCACTTGCCTTTTCTGGTTTCTCCATTAGAATGTTCTAGAATGTTACTCTTTTCCCTACATAGGAGAATTTGCATTGACATCAATACTGAGGGCTTGTCTGCGAAAACTGCTGAATGAAGGGGGTGGACCACATTGCAGGACGTGTTTATGAGGGGGCATCAGAAGTCGTGGTGGCTTTGAGAAGTCTCCACCCCTTTGCATACTTTGGAAATACAATTAGAAAACTGCCATGCTACAGTCACCGTAGCATAGCATTGATGAGTCCAGTGTTGAGGTGGAGGCCCAGGAGCAAGGCACCTGTTCAGATGTTCAGAAACATGGCAGAGGATGCATAGCTCTGTGCCCCAGTTGTGACACCCACCATCTTCCTGTCCCTAGGACACATTCCCACCACAGTGTTCACACACAAACAAGCAAACACATGACATGCACACATACAAAGAGATCTAACCCATGCCCACTCACAGACACGCACATTCACAAAGTCACACACTCATTTGCTCATATGCACACTAACACATCCAGTCACGCATACATGCCCATGCACTCAGAATGTCACTATTTTATTTTTTATTTTATTTTTAATTTTTTAATTTTTATTAGTGAAACACCATGAGGTACAGTTGTAGACTCAGAAATTTTTGTGCTTGGGTTTCAATTATACAATGATCAAATACCCATCCCTTCACCAGTGCCCATTTTCCACCACCATGGGTCCCACCCCCCATTCCCCCTATCCCACCCTGCCTTTGTGGCATGGCATTCCCTTTTGTTCTCTCTCTCCTTTTGGGTGTTGTGGTTTGCAAAAGAGGCATTGAGTGGCAATCATGTTTGGTCTATAGTCTACTTTCAGCATGCTTCTCCCATCCTGGGAGGATCCTCCCAACACCCTTTATTTGGTGCTCCCTTCTCTATCTGAGCTCCCTTTTCCCCTAGCATGTGTGGCTGGCCTCCAAGCCATGGAGCAGACCTCTTGGTACTAATCTCGGCCACTCGTGGGTGTTAGTCTCCTATTTTGTTACTTTATGTTCCCCAGATGAATGCAATCTTTCTATGTCTATCCCTCTTTTTCTGACTCATTTCGCTTAACATGATACTTTCCATGTAGTAGAATGTCACTCTTTATACTCATTTTCTTTACGGCCCTCTTTGTTTTTTTTTTCATTTTTTAATTAAATTTTTTAAGAAAAATTTTGTATTTAGTTATGAATAATGTGCTAAAAATGTTCAAAAGAAGTTTTCTTAGAGAAAAGTATGTGAAGATTGTTGTATTTCACCCTGGAGCCATTAAGCCCTTCTATAAGAGATTAGTAACCTGTTATTAAGGGTTGACCTGTGTGTGTGCGCGCGCGTTAATGTAATTTTTAACTTCCCCTCCCCCCCCCCCCCCCCCCCCCCCGAGATTGCCTTCTACTTTAAGCCCCATCAGGTGTGGTGTGCTACTCTTGGTACATTAGTGGTGTAAAGTAGGAGTTGCTCCAGAAATTATAAAATTTAAAATAAGGTTACACAGCAGATTCATTAATGGGTGAGGCTTATTGGAGCCTGTGGAGAGCGGCCCTGAGCATGTTTACTCCCTCTTTGGAGTAAAAGAGACCTCCTGTGTGCAGCTCATACATAAAAGGGTGGGGCATTTGGCTCTATCCACTTGGAGTCAGAGCATCTCCATAACTTACATGGAATTTGTAGCCAAGGGAGAGTTGCCTCTTGATTTGTTTAAGCTCTTTTAATACCAGAATGAACTTCTGGCAGTAGGAGGAAGGAGGCGGCAAGCAAGAGGTGACATGAGTACAGTGGTCGAGGGTCTTGGGCACTGTTGGGGGCTAGGGGGTAGCGCGTCAAAGCTGTGAATGTTACAACCATTGTAACCCGGTTACCTAAGCTACAGTTAAAAGAAAAAAGATTGTGTGTATGTGTATGAGGAGAGACATTTTGTATTAATTCAGCTTTTAAATTTTCTTTTCCATCTGTGTCTATGTGCGGTGCCAGGGATCAAGCCCAGAGCCTCACACATGTAGGCAAGCAGTGCGGAACTATGTCCCACCATGTGTTTTAGCACAGCTCTTAGAATCATTTGCTATTTAAGTCTCTTTTGAAAAAAAAATCACTTTACGGAAAGTGCATGTTCAAGCTGCCAAACACAGATGAAAACTAAAACAACATACTGTCTGATTTCTCTACAGGAAATTGCACAGAGTTTAAAAGATGAACAGAAGAAAGTACCTTCAGAAGCCTCGTTTTCAGAGGTTCGGTTAGAAGAAGCAGAATCCAACAGTCTAACAAAATCTGGTATGTTCAGATGTTTTGACTTTTTTTTTTTTTTTTTTTTTTTTTTACCAAGAAATTTTTTTTTTCCCTTTATTTTATTTTATTTTTTTTAAAGTTGTAGATTTACAATTTTTTGTGCTTTGGTTTCAATTATACAATGATCAGATACCCATCCCTCCACCAGTGCCCATTTTCCACCACCATGGAGTTTTGACTTTTAACACTGATTGATTAATAAGCTTTTATAGCCGTGTTTCAGGCATGAAAATCAGCTGTGTCTTTGAGAAGCCCACACTTTAGAGGGGAATGGGGTATGAGTGGGGAGATTGATAACCCACAGATGTAATTCAGCAGTGAGAGGTCTATAAAGGTCTCTCAAATACGCTTGAAAATGGAATCAAGTTCATCCAACCCCAAATTTTCTTCAATATAATTTATTCTTTAAAAACATTCATATAAAGAGGCATTTTAGTTTAAAGCTCTCCCATAAGGAACAACACTAAAACACTGCACAAGTATTTCTTGCTTTTGGAAAAAACCTTAAGTTTAATAGTTCCTGTCTTCCTTTTCTTCCATAAGTACATCCGGCAATCCCCCGGTCTCCTCTTAGGCCTGTGTAGATTCAAGCTTTTCTTTGCAGGGTGGGGTAAGGGGGGTTAGGCATACCTGACTCTACTTGGGTGCCATGTGGTGCCAGCATTGAACTGGTACTGGTGCCTTCCACCCTGGATTATTTCTCCAACTCAGATCTAACTCTTCTTTGTTTTTTTTTAAATGTACTTAATTTTGATGTAAAAAAAATTAAAGATTTTCAATGTACAGTAAAAAGTGACAACATAACACCTGTAAGCAACCTTCTTTGACTTTTGGAGTCTGGAAGAAAGGGAGACCCAGCAAGTGGGGATTGGTGACATACACTAAGTGGGCCTGTAAGTGACCCCCACTCGACTGGGCCAGGCTGTCAGTGAACCAGCTTTGAGTCCACTTCCTGTTGAACATTGTTTTGTCTCTTACTGCCATCTGTCTACATTAATATCTACTTCCTTTTTACTGGTGGCATGGCACATTCTGTAATCAGTGTATGCTGTTGATTTGTTCCAGAAAGATTATTGGTCTTGGTTTAAACACTTTGACAAGTTGTTCACAGTACAGTTGTTTCAGATATTCACTATTCCAACACCAGTCCCAACACTAATGTGCCCCTACCTCCACCAATGCCCCTAGTTTCCCACCCACCCTTCAAACCTACTTCCTTAGCAGGCACTAATTAATTTACTTTATATTTCTTATTGCAACATATATCTTGTGGCGGTCTTGCTAAAATGATGACCTGAGGATTTACTTAGCTGTTAGGTGCAAGGGCCTTCTGTGTTATTGTTTCCACTCATTGAGCTTCCAGAAAGCCAAAGCCTGGCAAGCTACCTGTGATGTTTGATATGCCAAAAACAGTAACAGCAAGTCTCACAATGAAGATGTTACTGGTGCCCCCTTGAGCAAATGAATAATGGGAAGACAGTGCTGCAGTGCTACATTGAGCTTAGTGGTCTTCTACTTAATTTTCTCATCTATTTTTCTTGTTTCTCCTGGGCTGTCAGCTCTGTGAAGTTTGGAGATGTTGCATAGCTGCATATGTGGCTGGACTCTTCAGGGGTTTTGGAGCTGTGACCATCAACTGCATGCGTCTCTTTTCTTCTCTTTTTTTTTTTAAATTTTATTTTTCATTAAGTTGTTCACAATAATTGATTGCATTCAGTATATCAACACCAGTTCCCACCCCCATTACACCTTCCCACCACCATTATTTCAAATTTTCCCACCACACTCAAGCCTGCCCCACAAGCAGATGCTAGATAATTTATTTTGTATTGCTTGTTATGAATAGCATGAGATGTTGCGTGGCGGCTTTTGTGACCGTGCGCTTCTGGAACGCATGTGTCTCTTTGACCTCTCTGAAATCAGTCCTGCAGCTTGGCTTGTTTCTCTGGCAGAGCCAGGACCGGATGTCAGTGGGTGGAACACTGGGCTTTGTGCAGGGTGGGGGTTTGGTGTGCCCACATACCCCCTACGGTACAGAGATCTTGGCCCCGTGGCAGCCAGGCCTTCCTGAGGTAACTCAGCCCCTGGCATCTCTCCCTCATGGCATTTTGATTAAAGGTGGGGCTAGGAATTATGACTGCCTCTAGCTATGGGGTAGGTACTGAGTAGAAGCCTTTTAGAGTTGCCAGGCAAATAAATCTCCACATGTATGAAATGTATCTTTATTTTTGCCACTTGGGTTTTTAGGTTCAACGGAATCTCTGAATCCTAAGCCACAGACCACAATTTCTCCAGCAGATCTTCATGGAATGTGGTACCCGACAGTTCGAAGAACTCTTGTCTGTCTTTCCAAATTGTACAGATGCATAGATGTACGTGGATAAATTTCCCCCTACTGTAAATTGCTTGCTTTTTCACTTGAAATGTTTTAATTTTATTTTGAGATCTTGATATGGTATTTTGGTATTAAATTAGAATTACGATTTTTAGATCAGAGAGAACTTTAAGGTCAGTCTAACTTTGTGGACTCATTCTGGTGTGGTGTTTGGGGCACAGGGGTTGCTGGGGATTGAATACATGGATCCTGCATGCAAAGCATGTATTCTGACACATTGAACCCTCTCCTTAGCCCATAATTTAGGAATTTTTTTTCACTTTATTTATTTATTTATTTGCTTTTTGGGTCACACCTGGCAATGTACAGGATTTACTCCTGGCTCTGCACTCAGGAATTACTCCTGGTGGTGCTCAGGGGACCATATGGGATGCTGGGAATCAAACCCGGCTCGGCTGCGTGCAAGACAAACACCCTACCTGCTGTGCTATTGTTCCAGCCCGATTTAGGGATTCTTAAACAATCTGTAGACCCTGAGAATCTGTAATGGACTTTGGGCAATCTATTAACACCTTGAAATTGTAGGTAAAATTGTGTGTACATGATGGTATATGAGTCTTTTTGAAGACAAATGCTTCTTTAAAAATGTTTTAGAGATTTATGACAAATTAAAGACTATATTTTAATCCACACGTCTTAGTTTATAGGTTAGGGAAAAAAAGATTAAGAAAAGTGATCTGTCTAATATCACATAAGTATAATATTCAGTATTAACTGCAACTACTTTAATTTAGTTCCATACTCATCCAAAGTCAGCATCTTTAGTAAGCAGTGTTAAGATCAATATCTTACTAGCCGTAGACCAATTAGAGGCTTTTTTGCTGACATTGCAGTACCTTTTTAAAATAACCAGCTCACAGTATTCATTGATTTCAGGTAACAGTTATTTTAAGCATTCTAATTTCCTAAGATTATCAATCCATGAAAGACCAGACTTGTTTACATTTATTTTTCTGTCAGCAAGTGGTTTGTTGCCAAACTAATTTATAAAACTCAATAACTTCAGTTCCCATTAAAAAGATAATAAATTGGGGGGATGGGGAGAGAGTACAGAGATACGCATATGCCCAACTTGGTTCAATCCCTAGTACCTCATGGCTCCTTGAGCTCCTACACTGAATTGAATTGCCAGATAGATCCCTGAAGGCCCCCAAGCGTGGCAGGGGTGACCCTGGTGGTTCCCAGCATTCAACCCTTTGGTTCTGTTGACTGAGCGTTGCAGTGAGTAAATCCCAGACCCCGAGCACTGCTTTATGAGGCCAAGTCCCCCAGATTTACATTACTAAAACCATAGAAGGGCAAAAAAGAAATAGTGATAAATAATAGTGGTCATGTAATTGTTTCATTTGTGTTTGGGCAATACCCAGTGATATTCAGAGCTTATTCCTGGCTGTGCACTTAGGGATCACTCTTGGTGGTGCTTGGGGGACCATATGTGTTGCAGAGGATTGAACCCGGGTCATATGTATGTAAGGCAAGCTCACTGCCCACTGTACTGTCTCTCTGACCCACATTTTTGGAATCATTTAAAAAATTTTTAATCACCATGAGTTACAGTCATGTAATTAGTTATTGAGATGCCTCTGCTTCTTAGGATCATGGTTCGAAGAGGAATGTATATGTGTATCCCCTCCTGTTATGGGGATGCTCTGTACCCCAGAGTCGTAGGGACTGAGCCAGGCTGCACAGGTGCTTCATTAGCTTACTACAGTGCACATTATTTGGTGTCTGTTAAAATAGATTAGTTAATGGAGTTTGTACTTGGTTGACTTTGAAACTCAGCTGGAAAGTACCTTTGACCAGTTCTTAACTTTCAGGGCTGAGGCCAGTTCATGTTTACAGTGTTAGCCGTCTCTGCCTTCTTGCCCAGCCTGGTGATGGGGCAATCTGGGTAGGGATGTCCCACCATGGAACCAGGGTCCGAAGGGAACCATGCTGGGGGCATATACCGCAGAAAACCCACTTAACTTCCCAGATCCTAAAGAAGCCCCTTTTGGTGCTGAATAGGGATTCTAGCCTGTCGGCCGGCGGATCACTCTGTGGCAGGCAGGAAATTACTCTGCCTGCTTTCCTTATTATTTCTGTTTAACTATTTGTTTATTTACAGTACTGGGAATGGAACCCAAGTACCTGCCCCTGAGCCACATCCCTGGCCCCTCTTTGTTTCATGCTTATTCTTCTCCTTACCAGTGAGCCTTGTGACCCTCACTTCTATTTCTCATCCTGATCTTTCCCCAATCAGCCAAAGGGAAGAAGGACGAATGCACAGTAAAACACGGGCTAGCTGAGCTGGGGAAGGACAGCCTCTCTGTCTCAGCTGCTCCCTTCCTTCTGCCTCCGACTGAGACTTGCAGCCCTGTTCCTGTCTGCAGAGCCTCAAGCAGGGAAGAAGGAAGAGCAGGAACAGCCTGCCCCAAAGGCTTAGGGCTGCGGCCTGATTGTAAATGCTTTCTGGGGGTGGGGATGGGGGGGAGACAGGGACAGGGAGCAAGGAGACTGATGAGAATCTTGCCCAGACCCCTTGCCACACTTTGGGAAGGAGACCAGTTGGGCAGAATAGCGCGTTAGACTTCAGGGGCACGAGAGAGAGCTCAGTGGGCTGAGTGTGTGCTTTGCATGCTGGAGGCCAGGGTCAGTCCTGGGCGCCGCAAGGCCCCCGGGCACCAGCAGCAGCAGCAGCAACTCTGAACATGGCGCCAGGGGTAGCCCCCAGCACCAACCTGGTTGATCTTTCCTCCAAAGAACTATTTTGTAATCGCCAATTTTGTATGTGATGTTTCGTCTATTTTTGCTATGTTTTATAAGAATTTCAGTATCTCCTTTGGCATTCCATAGTTTTATTCATGCATACCGTATTTCAGAATTTAGGCTTACTAGTTATTTATCTCAGGTTTGGGGCCGCACACAGTGGTGCTAAGGGCTCTGCACTTAGGAATCACTCCTGGCAGTGCTAGGGTGGGGGGAGCATATGAAGTGCTGGGAATCAAGCCTGGGTTGGCCGCATACAAGGCAAGGACCTTACCCCCTGCATCATCTTTCTGGCCCCCTAGTTTTTTTTTTTAATTTATTTTTTTCTTTTTGGGTCACACCCAGCAATGCACAGGGGTTACTTCTGGCTCTGTGCTCAGGAATTACCCCTGGCGGTGCTCAAGGGACCATATGGGATGCTGGGAATTGAACCCGGGTTGGCCCCGTGCAAGGCAAACGCCTTACCCGCTGTGCTATTGCTCCAGCCCCGCCCCTAGTTTTTTATTTGTTGTTTGCATCATTACACAGTTTTTGGTTTGCTTGTTTTCAGTAAAACTGACGCAGTGCTCTGTACACAGATCTGATAGACCCAACAGATTACATTTTTAGATGCAGATTTGTGGGAAAGTCGGTTTCTATAGATTTGGTAAAAGAGCACATGTGAGGTTTGTTGGCGAAGGGCCTGGAGAGGGAAGTACCACTTGTGCCTTGCGCCCCTCCGCTGTTTGGCTGCCAGGAGCTTGGAACCGGGCCTGATGGGTGCCGGGAAGCCTGGTGGTGCCAGTGCAGAGCCATGTGTCGGGGTGAGAGGCTCCACGGGACTAGGAAACGCTGAGAGAAATAGTAAGAAATGAATCCAACAGAAGGGGGCCTGCAAGCGTTGTTCTTTGCTCTCAGGCCCTGGTTGGAAGAGTGGAGTTTGTAATGTTTCTCTTTTGTTTCACCAGAGGGCGGTGTTCCAAGGACTCTCCCAAGAAGCCTTGTCTGCCTGCATTCAGTCCTTGCTTGGAGCATCGGATTCCATCAGCAAGAACAAGGTTTGGTGAAATGTTAGGTGACACTTCTTTCCCATAGTATTGTCGGTTGCAGAGTGTATTTATCTATGGGTACAGAAATTTAAAGCTAATTTGGTAGTGGAATTTGTTTAGTATGATTTAATTTTGTTTGGCAGGGGTGAGGGGTCATACCTACCAATACCCGTTCTCTTAGCTTGGCCGCTTAGGAACTGTCTCCAGCAGTGCTTGGGGGATTGTGCAGTGTTGGGTATCAAACTGGTGCCTCTGGCATGCAAAATTTTAATTGAACTGGTTGAGCTATCTCTCTGATCCTTTAGGCTTTTAAGGCAAGAAATTGTTTATGCATACTTAATTCAAGCATCTCAATATATCAGTTCGCTGATATATTATTTGTTGGATTACAGTAGTTTAAAATAAATCTATTTTATGCTACTTTTGCTTATGGAGTTGTTCTTTTGGAAATAAAGCAAATATTAAAAATGCATAGTGTTTTCTATTTACCTAATGTATGTTCTAGGGTGCAAAGTGAGCTTCCATCAAATAAGCCATATTTATGTAACTAGCTGATGTGTTTATTTAGAAAGTGGAGAGAGAGTGACCAGGGAGAAATCACTCGGTGATAATTCCTTTCAAGTTCACATTGCTTACTGAAGGACAACTTGACCCTTTGCTCAGTGTTGTATAATCCCATCAGAAATATTTACCATGGAAGATTTTCGTCTTGAGTAGCATCAAGAAAGTGCCAGTTCAGCATAGCTCTTGTTAATATAGATACTCTTCTCTGAGATGAGAGCTATGGATATTTACTATTTTAGGGTTGGGTTGGAACTTAGGGAACATACTTTGAATCATAAGACTTTGGAGATGAGCCTGAGGGGCAAATGTGACCTACCCAGAGTGTAGGTGGTCATCATTACGTTGGTGATAGGACGGCCCAAGGCCCAATGTGATAAGTCCAGAGCACTTGGGTTTGGAGTTCCTTTTGTACTTGTATATGATTGTGAATATTTCTGATGATCTGGTTATTGAAACCTCCTTGACTACAGTTAAAACCGTGGTACAGAACAAGAAACTGAAAGCTGTGAGAGGTCAGTTGAATGGGTCTGTACTTCCTGCTCTGTACATCCTAGGACACATTACCTTGTCTGTATCTGCACCAAGTGAAAATAGATTTGACCTCTCTTTTTACATGTGTTGTGTTCTCACTTTTTGTCCAATTTGATTTTTGTAGAATAGCACAGCGGTAGGGCGTTTGTCTTGCACGCAGCCAACATGGCCGACCCGAGTTCGATTCCTCTGCCCCTCTTGGAGAGCCCGGCAAGCTACCGAGAGCATCTCGCCCGCACGGCAGAGCCTGGCAAGCTCCCCGTGACGTATTCGATATGCCAAACACAGCAACAACAAAGTCTCCAATGGAGACGTTACTGGGCCCGCTTGAGTAAATCGATGAACAATGGGAGGACCTTTACCTTTTACCTTTACCTTAGTTAGTGACAATGTTAGTAAGTTTAAAGCAAGGGTTTATCCAGATAACTCTTAACATGGGTATTTTGGAGAAAGTTCTCTGTGTAATGATTTGTCACACTATAAACTTAACATTAAGGGGCATAAATCGAGGTAGACTAATGTTGATAAATAGATTGTATTATGATAATACTAATTTTTCTGTTCCATACTTTAGACTCAGATTGATGGACAACTTTTCCTAATAAAGCATCTTTTGATTCTCCGTGAACAAATTGCTCCATTTCACACTGAATTCACCATTAAGGAAATTTCCCTGGACCTCAAGAAAACTAGAGGTATTTCATTGCCCTGGCTGGCACAGTTGGATGCATCTGACCTGTCCAAATGTGTCAGCACAGGATATAGGTTTATTTTATGTTCATCTGCAATTTTTTTGCATGCCGTGCTTGCTAAGCATGTTACTTGTTTTTACTAAGCCGAGCTATCAACATCCTAACTACAGTTATCTCTTTGCTGTATTTTCTTTGTGAAAGAAGCTATCTGAGCCTTTCAATTTATAACATGGCATCACTTTGCTAAGACTCTTCCACATATTGTCATTAGCACTTAGAAATAGAAAACTATGGACCACAGAGATAGTATGCACAGAGAGCATGACACTTGTCTTGCACTCGACCAACCCAAGTTTGATTCCTGGCACCGCATATAGTTCCCCGAGCATTGCCAGGAGTGATCCCTGAGCACCGTGGTAAAAAGAGAAAAATCTCTGTAGCAGATACAGTGCTAGCAAATTGGAATGATTTTAAATATTGAGTTTCTCAGTTAACAAAAAAAGCCAGCTGGGTGAAAGTGAAGGATGGAGGGCTGATCCAAGCATGTGAAATGGAGGTGGGTTCTGTTCCTGCCCCTTATTTCCTGACTCGAATGTGTCAGTTAAGGTTTCTTAAACTCTGTCCACTCAAAATCCCTTTGCACCTAAGAAATGTTTATCCTTCCCCTGGCATATCTATATGTAAAGTAGGTATACAAATTGGATGTTTGCCAATAGCAAGTCATAAAGAAATTTATTTTCAAACATGGTATGTTTTTATTACCTGACCCCATATAAGTTCTCATACCACAATTTAAGAAATTAGGTTTTAGCTAAGCTATCCCAGATAAACTGAGTATGATCTGCTGGTCTGGTTATCAAGATCATTAAGAATGAAAATGGGGATCAGAGAGAGAGTACAGGGGTCAGGCACTGATTTTGCGTGTAGCTGACCTGAGTTCAATCCCCAGTATCACTTAGGGTCCCCTGTGTACTGCTAGGAGTGATCACTAAGTACAGAACCCTGAGCACCACCAAACAAACGAGAATTAAAATGTATGGAAGAAGTGTATGTTGAAGTGCATTATAAGATCAAGGTGCACAACTCAAAGTGGCACTATTATTCTGCACTTGTGTAATTGGGTGTTTGAGTTGGTAATACATATTGAATCATCTTTCCCAAGATGTCATTCATCCTTATTGATTTGTCTGACTGACTGAACAAAAGACCAAAGTTGTTCTGTTCAGTTGTGGTCAGGACTTACTTCCTGGCTCTGTTTCTGTGTGTAGGGGTCATTCCTGGTGGGACATGGGGGATCATACAAGGTGCCAGAGATTAAATCTGGGTCATACCTGTACAAAGCAAGCATCCCACCTGCTGGACCACCCTCTCCAGCCCAAAGTAGATTTTTCTCAGATAATCTAAGGCTGTTAAGATATACCATAAATAACCTTTGTTTCCCTAATTATTTACAAGATAACTAAATTTTCTCTTTTCTCAACCATTTCCAAGAGAATTAAGCTCAGATACCATAAGCTGTTGGTTTATATAATAAATGAACTTCTCTCCTGTGTAGGAGAACTGAGAAAATAATCACTAAAATTATGGTTTAGAAAAACTCTAAATATAGGATTTCCAAAGGTAGCAGATTGTTCATTGCTAAAGGACTGGCTTATAGTTTTATGCTCATAACGCACCTGAGAAGCAAAGTGGTTTTGTAACATCATAATAAAATAATTTACGCTTTATCTTTTTCTAATGCTTTCTTCTTTCCACCACAGAGAATGCCTTTTGGGTTTCATGGGGTTTGATTAGTAACCTGTGTGTTATTTATATGCTCAGTGATTGTATTTTAAAAAAACTCAAGGAGAAGAAATTTTTTTAAAAAGTCAGATTTCCTGGTCTTTGCCTTTTACAAAATGCATAATTTTTTTAGACCTTATTCTCATCAAAGGCTTCCAGATCCCAGTCACTAAGAGATTGATTTCCTTCTTTCTTTTTATTGTAAGGTGTTAGAATGGTGCTCTTTTCCTTAAAGAACACCAGGTGCTGATAATCTTTAAGTGATGAGCTAAAGCAGAGTTGATTGCATTTTTTAAAAATTTGAAATAGAATTATAATTTGTTGCTGCTTCTAGTTCTAGTTTAGTCTCACTGAGGTGTGAGAAAATAAAATACCCTAAAATGTTGGCAGAATTTGTTTTCACTAAGGACTGAGTAGCTTGATCGTAGAACTCATCTTTTGCATGGATGAGGCTCTGGGATTGATCCCTGGCATTGCCAGAAAGGAAAAAAAAAGCAGGTATTTCACTTAAACGTCACAGAGAGTGCATATACTGATTTGATTCTAGTGATAGCAGACAGCCTTTCAGCTCCCTTTGTAGAAAAGGCAGAGCCATTTATTTATTGTTTTCCTCTGAGTACTGAATTTGAGGGGAGGTTCTTCATTCAGGTTAGAGTCAGGGCGGTCTTTGCTGCTGTGGAGCGTACTTGCAAAAGCAATATCGAAAAACTTTCTGCTTTGCTTTCTCCACTTGGCAAAGTGAAGGGGGAAAAGGGTCTTTTCTGCTCGCACTCGATGATACTCGGATGTTACTCACTGATGATACTCACTAGCTTTACTTTTAAACCTCTAACCTCTCACAACTAACATTGTATCTTATTGCATTTGAACATTAATGAGACCTGACTTTAGTACTTGGCAGATTCTAGTTAGTATGGAGGTTGAGGGGTAAATATGTCCTTTTGGTGTTTTCTTTCTGGCTGACACATTAGTTTATTCACTCTGCTTCAAATGAATAAATTTTTGTGCCAGCCAGAAACTTCAAGATCTGTTTTTTTGACAGAAGCTGGGTAAGTAAATTATTTTCTTTTTATTCATTTAACATTGTAAAAATAAAGCAGGGAAATTTTAAGGTATTGTTTATGATTTTCTTTTTTCCCTACAAGTAAATAATTAAGATGAATAGTCATGTCCCAGTTGTGACTTCTAGATAAGAATTCATGGGTACCGTCCCATCATTGGTGCTTGTCTCACCCATTTTCATTCATGGCGGCTGTTTGATGAAAATGAAACCACATTTGCTTTGTGATGATGGGGAACTGAGGTATATTAGCTAACTAACTGAAACAGTGACTCACCCTTTCTCTTATAACTGCTCACCAGATGAGTAATTTTGTTTTACAGATGCAGCATTTAAAATCCTGAACCCTATGACTGTTCCAAGATTTTTTAGGCTGAATAGCAACAATGCCTTGATAGAATTCTTGTTGGAGGTGAGGAAATGGATTCATTGGCTGGGGGGGTGGGGGGGGGGGGCGTGGAGATCAGTGCTATTCTGTATGTCTGTGGTAATTTCTAGGCACATAAAAACAGGCGGAAACTCTCATCTTTTTAAGGGTACTCCTGAGATAAGAGAACATTATCTCGACTCTAAAAAAGATGTAGACCGCCACCTGAAGTCGGCCTGTGAGCAGTTCATTCAGCAGCAGACCAAGCTGTTTGTGGAGCAGCTGGAGGAGTTCCTGACAAAGGTACCTCAGTGCACATTTGGTCAAATAAATTTGAATCTTCAATGGATTTCATTTTGAACTACCCTTTTATGAAAGGAGGCAGTAAACTCGGTCTTAATGGTCCAGTCTAGGAGAACAATGTTTCCTGTCATGGAGCCTTTTGGTTTGGACTTTTGTGGATGAATTGATTGATTCAGGTTGCTTTGGTTTACATCATCACGTGGGTTGCACATGTGCTTTTGATACTTCTTCAAAAGTACGTTTTCAGCACTGAGCCAGAGTGCCAAGAACCCCCTGCCACCAACTGCTGGACCCACTCCACCTTTTGTGCTCCTTGTACCCAAACCCTTAGGCAAGATAGTCTTGTTTTTTTTTTTGTTGTTGTTGTTGTTTTGACAGTCTTGTGTTTCTAAGAGGAATATGAGTGTTATAAGGCTAATGATAGTGGTCCTTGGTTCATGATGTTCTCATGCGCCTGTGGTCTGGGACTGTCAACTTCTGGGTTAGACCTGCTTGGCTGTGATCATGGTCCTATCAATCATGTTTCACATGCTTTTTCTTCTTTCTATTTTTTGTGGAAATTTGATAATTTATATCACTGCATTGTTTACAAATACAGATATTTTATTATCGTCTGCCATTTGGCTATTGCCAGCATGAGAAAAACTGATTTATTGTTGCCTTGGGGGACTGGGGCGATGGGGAGGGGCCCGCACCTAGCGGTGCTCAGGGCTTGTTCCTGGCTCTGCTTAGGGATAACTCCTGGTAGGTCTTGGAGGACCGTATGGGGTGCCAGGGATCAAACTCAGGTCAGCTGTATGAAGGAAAACACCCGACCCACTCTACTGTCACTCTGGCCCCTCTTTTTTATTTCACATTCATAAAAATGTCTTTTTTATTTCAACTGAATCATACATTTTTTTAAATTAGATTTCTATTTATTTTATGCTTCCTTTATTCCCAAAACCATAAGTTTTGCTTCTTTAGTTTCTTCTGTGATATATTTGTCTTCTGTGCAACTTCCTCTTCAGGTTAAAAATTTTATTTTAAGAACCAGAGAGGTAGCTCTAGCTCAAAGGGCTGGAGCACAGAGGCCCTGTATTGCATCCCCAGCGCTGCTGGGTGTGGCCTTGGGGTCCTAGTATTACTGTGACATCCCCACCAATCTTTTTAAAAATATTGTCACTCAGGTTTGTTCATTGCAGCACTCTTTACAATAGCCAGAATCTGGAAAAAACCTGAGTGCCCAAGAACAGATGACCGGTTAAAGAAACTTTGGTACATCTACACAATGGAGTACGATGTAGCTGTTAGAAAAGACGAAGTCATGAAATTTACATACAAGTGGTACTACATGGAAAGTATCATGCTAAGCGAAATGAGTCAGAAAGAGAGGGATAGACATAGAAAGATTGCATTCATCTGGGGGATATAAAGTAACAAAATAGGAGATTAATACCTAAGAATAGCCGAGATCAGTACCAGGATGATTACTCCATAGCTTAGAGGCCAGCCAGGTATTCTAGGGGAAAGGGCAGTTCAGATAGAGAAGGGAGCACCAAATAAAGGGTGTTTGGAGGATCCTCCAGGAGGGGAGATGCATGTTGAAAGTAGACTATGGACTGAACATGTTTGCCACTCAATGCCTCTTTTGCAGACCACAACACCCAAAAGGAGAGAGAGAACAAAAGGGAATGCCCTGCCACAGAGGCAGGGGGGGTGGGAGGGATACTGGGACTGGTGGTGGTGGAGAATGGGCACTGGTGGAGGGATGAGTATTTGATCATTGTATAATCGAAACCAAGCACAAAAATTTGTAAATCTACAACTGTACCTCATGGTGTTTCACTAATAAAAATTTAAAAAAAAATTGTCACTCAGGACTTACATTATAAAAACTGTTTTTAAAGTCTTTGAGTCTCTAGTGTTTTCAGACTTACATTAGGGAATACCTTTGAAAAATTAATAATATGAATGACATAGTACACAAATTTATTTCAGTCTTAAATGATCAGGAGCGACAACTAGGCAAATTTTCTATTAAGATTTGTTGCTGAGTCCATAAAGACTGATGTTCTCTTTTGAAATAACAAAAACCAGGGGCCGGAGCAATAGTGCAGCATATAGGATGTTTACCTTGCACGAGGCTGACCTGGGTTTGATTCCCGGCACCCCATAAGCACCCCATATGATTCCCTTCGTGCATGTCAGGAGCGGTCCTGGAGTGCTTAGCCAGGAGGAAGCCCTGAACACTGCTGGGTATGGCCCCAAAACCAGAAAAGGCAAGTGTAGAAACAATGTAACATTTACATATCTTTCTTTTCATTTATTATTGGTGAATGAAATTTGGTGGCTTTGTAGTCTGCTTGAGCTGGAACGATAGCGCAGCGGGTAGGGTGCTTGCCTTGCACGCAGCTGACCCGTGCTCGATTCCTCCCGCCCCTCTCGGAGAGCCCAGCAAGCTACTGAAAATATCTCGCCCATATGGCAAAGCCTGGCAAGCTCCCTGTGACGTATTTGATATGCCAAAAACAGTAACAACAGGTCTCACAATTTGTTGTGAGGTGTTACTGGTGCCCGCTCGAGCAAACTGATAAACAATGGGAGGACAGTGCTACAGTGCTACAGTAGTCTGCTTGTGATCAGGTGTTTGGAGTGTGTGTTTGTGGTTTTCTCCTGCCACAAGCACTTAAAAGAAGGGTAGTGATGATGTCTCTTCCCAGGCTGTGCTTTTTAAGAAACAGTGCAGGAGGGTTGTGGTGAGAGTGTCAGCGGTGGAGCACATGCCCAGCCTGGACGCGGCCTGGGTTCCACCCCAGCACCCAATGTCCTTTGCAGCCCTGCTACCCCAAGTGTGGGCTCCTGAGCTCCGCCTTGCCTGAGTACTACACTTTCAGGCCCACACTATGGACTCAGTATTTCTGGGCATTGCCCTGGGACCCTCACCAGTGGGATCTGTTTATACTAAAACCGCAGACTTATTGTACTAATACTCATTTTATTCTTTTCCTCTTTTGTTTTTTTCTGGCCATCCCCAGAAGTGCTGTGGGGTTACTTTTGGCACAGTGCTCAGAGAGCCATGCAGTGCTGGGAACTGAGCCCAGTGCTCCCACATGCAAAGTCTGCGTTCCAGCCTTTTGGGCCATCTCCCTGACCCCAGGAACAAACATTTTCTTTCTGACAGTGCTTTGCCATATAATTGCGTTCTTAATATTTTTAATTTCCTCAGCAACACCATAAACTCAGTCTTCTTGTGTTTTTTCCCCTCGCTATGTTGAGTGTAATAGAATTTGACTTTAACCTAATTCTGTTCTCAAGGAGTTGGAACCTACTGGGAAATCAAGGTTAGGAAGTATGTAAACATGTATACAGCAGTGGGTATGTGTTCATCCTCTAGCGTTTTCAAAAAAGACAGTACTAATTGGGGAACACTTTGGAAGGAAACGCAGCTTGAGGGTTGATTGAAAGATAAGGTTAGTATCTAGGTGGTATACCGAGATGAATATATAAGTAATTATAAACACTTACATATATGCCATTATGAAATCAGTTAAATTCTGCTTTGTTTTCCTTTGCTGGTGAGGGCTGGACCTGATGCTCCCAAGGATCACTCTTGGTGGGGCTTTGGGAACCATATGGGGTGCCTGGGACCTAACTTGGGTCAGCTGTGTATAAGGCAAGTATGTGCCCTACCTGCTGTCACATCTTTCAGTCCCAGCTGGTTAAATTTTGGAACAATTGGTGGAATAATAGGTAACCATTACTCTCCAAATGTTTGACACAGAACAGTGTCCAGAATTGAGATTCAGTAGGGGAGAAAAGTATTCAGGACATTCTGTTCTTCTTTTTGCAAATGTGGACACATTAGTATGGGGATATATATATATATATATATATATATATATATATATGTATGTATATACTAAGTGTGAACTTGTTTTTCTTTATTATTGTCTAATGCATCTATAGTCATGCATATGTTTCACTTTAAAACTGTCACATGAAAAACTTAAGATGCAGAGAGAACTTGAGTAAAAGTAGAAACTGGTGGTTTTACATACATGGATAGCATAAGCAAGGGACAAGAATGGTCTGGAGTACTAGGTTGGAAGAGATGGATTGAGGGTGGAGAGATCTGAGTTAATATGTCCTGTCTGTACCCACCATCAGCCTTAATGTTTATGTGGCTGATAGATAAGCAACAGGAGTTGGTGCTGATTCATTTTTTGTTTGTGTTTTGGGGTCCACACCCAGTAGCTCTCGGGGTAGCACCTGGTGACTATGAAATGCAGGGAATAGAATCCCGCTTCCCCACATTGCAAAGCTTGGCCCTTTGTGCCGTCTCTCTGGCCCTCAAAAAATTATTTTTTCTTTTAATGAGACTGTATAGTAGCCCAGAGACTTGGTCTGGACTCTGGGCACCTAACCATAAAAAAAAAAAAAAGAAAAGAAAAAAATTTATTCAGTTTCTATCCTTAGCCCTCCCCAACTACACCTTATTCCCCAACTATACCTTATTCCCCACCATAATTTTCTGTTTTAAGAACATTCTTGTCCAAGCAGCTAAATGTATGGTTTGTTTTTGAGTTTGCATCTCTCTGTGGGTCTTGAACTGTGGAAGCATGGCAAGAGGCACACATCGCAGTCCGCCTCTAGCGTGAGCCACTCGTCTCCCTTTTTCTTTTTTTTTAAAGTTTTCAATTTTATTATCATAAAGTTGTTCACAGTAATGGATTACACTCAATATTTCAACACCCTTCCCACCAGTATTGCACCTTCCCGCCACCATTATTTCGAATTTTCTCACCACCAGTAAAGCCTGCCCCACAGGCAGATGCTAAATAATTTATTTTGTTTTGCTTGTTATGAATAGTATTCACAGCCATGTGCTCCTGGATATCTAAAACTTTAAATAAATCTCTGTGGTTGTGAGTCTCTGGATCATGGCCATTAATGTGCTTAAATGGTTCCCGGAGGCAGTTCCGTGGGCGTGACACCTGATGGGTGGGAAGATGGGGAGGGGCGGCCCTACCCACCTCCATGTAGCCTGGATTTTTCAGTCACTGGTCCTGCATACCTGGGGGAAGTTTGTGGCCACCTGGGGTTCATTCGGATTAGGCGGAGAGAGAATACCTGCTCCATCTGAAGTGCCCCAGTGAAATCAGCACGACATGGTGTCTAGAGACATCTCTGGCGAGTTGCCATCTTCTGAGATTCATTTGTAAGTCTCAAGTCAGCTGCCTTCTTCTTCTTTTTTTTTTTTTCTTTTTTTCTTTTTGGATCACACCTGGCGATGCACAGGAGTTACACCTAGCTCATGTACTCAGGAATTACTCCTGAAGGGGAACCATATGGAATGCTGGGAATTGAACCCAGGTCAGCCACGTGCAAGGCAAATGCCCTACCCCCTGTGCTATCGCTCCAGCCCCTCAAGTCAGCCTTCTTATGTGCCTTGAAAACCTTGTGTTTCCACAAAATTCTCACAACATTCTGCCTACAGTGTCATAAAGAAAGGGTTCCTCTATATATATAAAGGAGATTTCAGCCTGCTGGAATACATTTTTCTAAAAGCTTAAGTTAAAATTTACTATTAACATAGAAAGGATCTGGTGTATTGATATTTCTGCAGGTTCTCTCTTGTCCTACCTTGAAATGATTCAGGCAGATGATGCCTCAGGGTGTGTGTGTGTGTGTGTCTGTGTGTGTGTGTCTGTGTGTGTGTCTGTTTTAATACCCTATATGCTTTGAAATCACAAAAGTAATTTTGCTGCAGCATATTATTATTTGTAAAGGACTGATAGTGCTGTTTGGCTTTTTTTGTTTTTTAAGGTCTGCATTTGATTATTGTTATGTTTTAGTCATGCTGAGTATCTTTTAGGAAAAGTCGGAGCTTAATTTATGGTGATCCCATGAAACTTCTTTCTTTTTGTCTCTTCAAGGTTTCAGCGTTAAAAACCATGGCCAGTCAGGGAGGCCCCAAGTATACTCTCTCCCAGCAACCTTGGGCACAACCAGGTATTTACGTTTTACTCTTTAGGGTTCCCTTGCATTCGATGCTGACTAATCGGTGTTCTTGTAATTCTTGCTTGGATAACTCAGGGTCAATTCCTTCTGCTGTCCTTTGGTTACCCCAAGAGGTACTTTAGGGCTTAACTGTATGACACTCCTTGGATTTCAGCAAGCATTCCAAGGAAGGAAAACTTATAAATTTATATATATCCCCATTAAAAAAAAAACAACAGTGATCTAGGAATCACATGGGCTTCCCGGGCAATGCTGGGAGTGGCCTTCAGAGTTGTATGTACCCAGTGATTTTGGGGGGACCCCCGGGTGCCTGGGTTTGAGCCCAGGTCAGCCATATATGTACAAGGCATTAGTTAAGACCCTTCTAGTTCTCTCCAACCTCATCATCTCTCTGGCTCCTTTTATGTTGGAGCGGGTGATCAGGCCACAACTTGACATGTTCAGGGCTTTTGCCTTGCTCTGCTCAGGGCTCATTCCTGACCATGCTTGGGGGACCATATGCGGTGCTGGGGATCAAACTTGGGTTGGCTGCATGCAATGCAAGCTCCTTACTTACTGTACTGTCTTTTTAGCTTCCCTCCCCTTTTATTTATTTGTTTGTTTATTTATGATGGAGCTGTTGGTTTGTTTTTGAAGCTCTGGGGCATTTTATATATATATATATATATATTTTTTTTTTTTTTGTAGGAGTACTGCTGTTTATTTAGCCACTGATTAGCTGATTGAATTGGGCATGAACTCCACCTTAATTTTTTTTAAATTTTATATTTATTTATTGAATCACTGTGGGAAAAGTTACTAAGCTTTCAGGTTTAAGTCTCAGTTATACAATGATCAAACACCTTTCCCTTCACCAGTACTTATTTTTCGCCACCAAGAACCCCAGTATACCCCCCTCCCACCCCTCCAAATGCCTGTGAGGCAGATGGCATTTTTTATTTTTATATACCTTATATATTAGTCATTTATCTAATGTAAGGTAAAGGTAAAGGTAAAGGCCCTCCCGTTGATCGTCGATTTGCTCGAGCGGGCCCAGTAACGTCTCCATTGGAGACTTTGTTGTTACTGTGTTTGGCATATCGAATACTCTCGGTAGCTTGCCGGGCTCTCTGAGAGGGGCGGAGGAATCGAACTCGGGTCGGCCATGTTGGCCGCTTGTAAGGCGAACACCCTACCCACTGTGCTATCGCTCCAGCTATATAATGTGCCAATCCAAATGTGTCTTTAATTGAAGTATTAACAGAGGTAAAGCAAAAACCAGGGATACATAAAATAATCACTTGGGAAGTTGAACCATTCCTATCAGCAGTGAATGAGATGTCTGTTTGCCAACTGGTGATTTTCACAGACTTGGCAATTTTGTGTATCTGAAGGCGAACCAAGTGTTTTTGATATGCATTGTTAAATATTTAAGTGAGTGTATGTCTTTGGAGTTATTAGTCTTTTCCTTTACAGCTTTTTAGATAATTACCTCTTAAATATTTTATACAGATTGCTACTCTATCATGTATCTCCTTCAGAGACAGCACATAAGATACGTAATTGTTTTAGTTAACAATTTTCTTGAATTCTGTTCCCTTTCTGATAGTACTGTGAGACATAAAAGTGGATTTAGTTTCCATAAATACGTGGGTTTTCTGTTTGTGCTTTTTGAGTCTTTTAGGAGTCTTCCTCTTACTGTGACTTAGTTTTCTCTGCAAATGACCTCCCGGCCCTTTTACTTGTCCATGTGTATTCCGCAGGCACCCGTATTCTACCCCCTGTGAATGGCCTGACGCATGTTGGGGTACCTTGTTCCTCGGGATAGAATCTTGCATGTGGTAGGACTTTAAGGAGTGTGAGATTTGTGAGATTCCTGATAAATGAATCGGAAACTTGAAAGAAAATATTGGGGGCAATAGCCTCTTGCCTTTTGCTCTTTTTCTCTTCCTTTATTCCCCACCGAATTAAAATGGAAATGTTTCTTCTCTTTTCCTTTGTGACACTAATAAGGTTAATTTCTTTTCAGCCAAGGTCAGTGAACTTGTGACAAATGCATACAAGGTAATAAAAGCGAAGCTCCCTCTGACATTGAGAAGCATGTCCTTGTACCTCTCCAATAAAGATACTGAGTTCATCTTGTTTAAACCTGTTAGGGTGAGTATAATATCCATCATTTAAAAAAATTATATTTGGCACCATGGTTTACAGTGTTGTTAAGAGTAGGGTTTCATTCGTGACAGAATCCAGCTCCGGAGTGTCCACCTTCCTCTACCATTTCCCCATTGTCTCTTGCTGTCCTTCCCTATTCTGTAGGTAAGCTTCCTACAGAAGGGAAGGAGGTTCTTGGTTTCTGTTGCCCTTGGGCATTTGTCATTCCCCTTCGGTTTCATTATACGCCTCATGTGAGAGATCACTCCCTCTGAGGGGTCAGCACGAGGCTGTCCAGGTCATCTGTGTAGCAGCAGTGCTGTGTATTTGATCATTTATCTCCTGTGGGCTCCTCTCTTTGAAGTGTTCTTGCCTTACTACCATTTTCCTCTTCCTGTAGACATTTAAAAATCTCAGTGTACTGCTTTGGTAAAGTTGATTAATAATTAACCACTGTGATTATTAGAACTTATAAAACCTGCCTCTGACCCTCCAACCCTCCCGTTCTCATTTTGTGTTCTTTGTTGCCTTTGGCTGTAAGTTGATTTCTATCATAAAGGAGAATTAAATAAATTAACAGCAAATCAGATGCTCATGCCGGATAGCGCCTGACTCTTGAGCCTCATGTCAGGAATTCTGTTTCATTTTGCTAGTGAGTAGTGGGTGTAAATGACCAAAGGATTGATTATCAGAGCAAATTCATCACTTACGACTTGCATCTCTGGGTTGAGCCCACATCTTTCCCCAAGGCCTTGTTTGCCATTTTTTTAAAGTATAAATTATGTGTCTGGGAACTTTAAAAATATATATTAAAATATATATGTCTGGAAACTGCTGTATTATATGACTGGGAATCTTTTATGTAACAAATTGTTGCTGCAGATTCATAGTATTCTAGAGCTGGGGGGTGGGGGGCAGTGTGGTGAGGAACAGGGTTACCAGGGTTTAGTTTTTCCAGGAAGTAATGTATGGTAAATCTTGTTTTGTGATAGTGTGTGAAATATTAAGTGCAGATCAGACATCTTTGGCATTCCTTTCAAATATGTATTTTCTCCATTTGTTTTTGCAAATATTATTAAAATTTAACAATCTTAGTGCTTCGTGTTTAATAGCTTATTTTTTCAGTAGCTCATTTAATATGATCTCTTTATTCTCAGAATAATATTCAGCAAGTCTTCCAAAAGATTCACGTTTTGTTAAAGGAAGAATTTAGCCCTGAGGATGTCCACCTCATTGCTTGTCCCTCTATGGAGCAGGTAAAGATAATCTAAAAACACTATTTATTTAATTCCCTCTTACCATGAGTAGATATAATATCTTTGAACAGCCATGTTTTTAATTTTAAAAATTGTTCATGTTTTTTGTTCCGTGAGCAAAATTTTGAACCCCAAATTGCTCTCATATTTTTGGTGATTGCTTTAGAAATTTGAATAGCTGCTGCTTTCTGCTATTGAAAGTTGTGTGTTTAAGATAAATGAACTGTTATGTGAAAGATTCAGGCAGTAGTTGTTAGGTTGTTGAATAATTTTGTTTGAAATATGCATGAGAGATCTGCATTTCAAATGAAAAAAAGTAAGTTATTTTAGGGAGTTGAATAGATGTTAGAAGTGCTTGCTTTCTCTGTAAATTAAAAAAAAAAGCCAAACATAGAGCTCAGTGTGTTTCTGTTATTCTTTTAAATTGACTTAGCCAATTTTCACAGAGAGGTTGGTGGGGTGGGGGTGGGGCCGTAGTCTGGGGGGATGGTGTTTTGTTCCTGGCCTCAAGTTTAGTGTAATTCAGCTGTTTAAAACACAGTAAGGACTGAGAATTTGGGGGATGGTCTGGTCAGGGAGGCTCAAATGTGTGCATAGAAACAGGAGACCGTTGGTGCTGAGCGCTCAGTCTTGGGAGGATTTGTACAATGTGAAGAGAAAGAAATGGGTGGTAGCTAAAGGGGAAAGGGGAGTTTTCCTTTTTTTAAGATGTAATTCATGTGTCCTCAAAGAAATCCTGCCCCTTGAGCCATCTCCCCAGCGATGGTACCTGTTTCTTCATGATTAGATCCAAGGTTTGTGTATTTGGAAGGGAAATGGGTCATTTGTGTCTCCCTGGAAGTACAAGCTTGCCACAGAGTTTAGGGGATGATTATTTTGTTTCGTAAAATGACTTTGACTGTGTGGAAGAGTTCACTGCCAGGTTCATTCTCTGCAGGTTTCTCTGGGCCCCGTGTACAGACCATAGGTGTGTCAGGCAGCCGCTCCGCCTGTTGCCAGGGCCCCAGGTCTGCATCTCCTGGGGATGGGCTGCGTGTCACTCGCACTCCTCTTAACCGAAGGTGCGGCCACCCTAGGCCCTGATTAAAGGCTGAGGTGAAAGCCACTTGTGCTGTCCAGCGTATCTGGGAACCAGCTAGTACACAGCACTCCGCAGAATTCACGGCCCGGAAAGGTGGCCTGGATGAGTCAGCGCTATCTGGTCCATGGCAAGCTGGCCCTATCGGTCTTGCCCATCCTCACTGGACTTGCCGTGAGACAGGGGGACCATTCCTTGCAGGCTGTCTGTGGCTTCTTCAGAAGGCAGATCAGAGGGCCAGGGAGATGGTGCAGGGGTGAAGACATTGGCCTTACGCTCAGCCAGGCCCGTTTCTATCCCCAGCACCACGTATGATCCCCCGAGCTCCACCTGGAGTCAGCCCTGAGCACCACCTTGGTGTGAATCAATTAAAACAGCCCCAGAAAGCAAGCAGACCAGCTCCGCCCTGTGACTGCTCGTCTCCACACTCAGCCTGGGCCTCCTGTTGGGGTTTGGAGCATCTGCACAGCTTTCTTGAATTCAGGGCTCCACAGCAGAACTAATGGCACCTCTCGCTTCACTTTGCAGGTGAATGTCCTCCTGTCAGCGTCTAAGTAAGCAGGCCGCTGGCTTGGTGTGTCCATGGACTGTCTGGTGGGGGTGGCCGGGAGGCCGGAGGGACGCCGAGGCCGTGTGTGGGGGCTTGTTTCTGAGAGCCACACTTGCGTGCTGCTCAGTGCTGACCGGAGAGCGAAACTGAAGCCACACCTTGAGAGACTGGTCCTTCCCTCTTGAAAACATCCAAATGCCAAAGATGCATCATCTCTGGGTGATGGTGCCTGCCTTGTTGAAGTTGGTCGCAAGAATTATCCATCGTTTGGGCCGTAGCCCTGATAGGGCCATGGTCACATGGTTCTTAGCAAAAGATGTGCAATGGAAATAGCTTCCAAATGCGTAGTGCAGAGAACGTTACAGAAACACAGCTTGTTAGAAAGCTCCTAAGATTAAGGTTTCTCCGAGCGTGAAACACAGCAACACTTTCCACCACTGAGCATTCCACAGTGACTATTGCTATAACTTTGTTGTTACTTCCCAAAATGTCATTTCCCCACTCCAATGTGATGTTTCTCCTGGCCCTTGGAAGTGTTCTCTCTGGAAATTCAGGGTGTTACCTGGCAGTGGGGCTGACCTGAGGCTGTTTCCAGCGCAAGGCCCTCATGTCGGAACCCCCGACTTCGCACCCCTTAGGTGCAGCTCGTAGGTGCAAAAGTATTCAGAAAGCCCAGGGCAGCCGTCTCATGCTCCGCACGTGAGCCACTGTTAGAATGTGTGAGGCGCAGTAGTCAGTGTTTGCGAGTGGGAAGGACCAGTTTAAGTGTCTTAAATCGCCAACATGATTTAAGGAGAGGAGGCAGCCCGATGGGCAGCAGACCTCACGCACGAAGGTCGGGGCCCCCACCTCCTGCCTGCTGACTTCATTTCAAAGGTTCTTTGGAAAGGACCTATGATGTGTCCCAGCCTGGTGGCTCTCTCCCTGCCACAGCCGAGACCCAAGGATGGAGACCACGTGCCCCTCAAACCACCCACCCTGGCAGGGAGCATCACGGGGTGCATGCAGGCATTGCTTGGCCAGTACCTCGTTCCTCATGGGATGGTGTTTGCTCTGATGTTGGAGTAAATGCTTGCTATTTGGTCCCAAAGGAATTTTATTTCACACACGTGTGTACACATGGAACCCGAGGCAGCCTGGGGAATGAAACCCGCACACCAGTGATGGGCAGCCAGTGATGGGCACTTGGTGTGCCATGGCGGCAGCCTGCCCAGCCCTGCACAAAGTTTCCCTGCTGCCCGTTTAAACTGGCGACCGGTGTCGATCCGTAAAGCTTAGTACTCTGTATTATGGTCAAAAGGGTCCAGCGTCTTTCTTTGGCACGAAATGAGTGAATTAGGAAGATTGTACCTACTTACACTTTTAAATACATGTTTGATGAATGAAAACACCCAGTTTTGTGTATTATATGTACATTTGATTTTTTAAAATAGCCTTTCCAAAGAAATGAGGGCATGATTATTGTATAATACTATGACTGGCTTAATTAATGTACAGTCCAGAGTGTATTCTTAAGGGTAAAAATATTTGACAGCGCTCTTGTCAAATTCTTGTGTTTTGAATGTTATTTCTGAAACACTGAAATACCTTACAAAGTGCTGCGTAGGTACTAGTGATCCAACTTGTTTGCTAAATGAGTATTTGTTTAAATCTGTACAGTTCAAGTGTTTACTTATACAGAGTGTACATACTTTCAAATAATTAATTTAAAATGCTTTATATTATTTGCTAGAAATTGTTGTTTTTAATAAATGTGGATTTTTAAAAAATAAAGTTTTTTGCTTCCTACTCTACAGTGTTGATTTTCCTTTTTTAATTGATTTTTTTTTTTTCTTTTTGCGTCACACCCTACGATGCTCAGGGGTTACTCCTGGCTGGCTTTGCACTCAGGAATCACTCCTGGAGGTGCTTGGGGGACCATATGGGATGCTGGGAGTCGAACCCGGGTTGGCCGCGTGCAAGGCAAACGCCCTACCTGCTGTGCTATTGCTCCAGCCCCTTTAATTGATATTTTTGAGATAACTCATAAATTCATGTCATTCTAAGAAATAAAAGAGATCCCTTAACTTGTGCCCAGTTTTTCGGGTTTTTTGTTTGTTTGTTTTTGGGCTATACCCGGTGATGCTTAGGGGTTCCTTCTGGCTCTGCACTCAGGAATTACTCCTGGTGGTGCTTGGGGAACCATGTGGGATGCCAGAGATGGAACCCGGGTCAGCCTTATCATGCAAGGCAAATTACCCTCGCCACTGTACTAATGCTCCAGTCCCAACTTATGCCCATTTTCTGAAACAGATCACAAAACTGTAACATACCATAATTAGGAAGTTTGGCATTGTTACACACCACCAATCTTCTGCAGGTTTCTCCAGTTTACTTGAATTATTTGAATTCTTTTTTGTTGTTGTTTGGACTACACCTGGTGCTGCTCAGGGGTTACTCCTGGCTCTGCACCCAGGACTTCCTCCTGGCAGTGCTTAGGGGACCATATGGGTTGCAGAGATTGAATCCGGTTGGCCATGTGCAAGGTGAGGGCCCTACCTGTTGTATTCTCTCTCCAGCCCTTGAATTTTTTGAATTCTTTCTGCAAGATCATTATTTTTGGAAGACATTTGGGAGGCTGGAGAGATAGTACAGTAAGTAAGGTGCTTCCTTTCAGGTGACCTACCTTGGTCTGATCTCTGGCACCCTATATGGTCCCTTAGCATCACCAGGAATAAATCTTTTTTTTTTTCTTTTGGGGTCACATCCGGCGATGACAGGGGTTACTCCTGGCTCTGCACGCAGGAATTATTCCTGGCGGTGTTCAGGGGGACCATATGGGATGCCAGTGATCAAACCTAGGTCACCCTACCTGCTGTGCTATTAAGTAAAGTAAAGGCCCTCCCGTTGATCATCGATTTGCTCGAGCGGGCCCAGTAACGTCTCCATTGGAGACTTTGTTGTTACTGTGCTTGGCATATCGAATACATCACGGGGAGCTTGCCAGGCTCTGCCGTGCTGGCGGGATACTCTCGGTAGCTTGCCGGGCTCTCCGAGAGGGGCGGAGGAATCGAACTCGGGTAGGCCATGTTGGCTGCGTGCAAGGCAAACGCCTTACCGCTGTGCTCCGTCCCTCTCCGGCCTATCTTAACAACCCTTTGCACACTCTGGTGGCAAACTTCCAAAGAATTACAGGAATTTCTGACTTAATGATACTTCTGTTTGCGGGAGGAGGCATACCTGGTGGTTGCTCAGGGTTTATTCCTGCCTCTGCACTTAGGGATCATGCCTTGATGGGCTTGGGACCATATGGGGTGCTGATGGATTGAACCCAGGTCAGCTGTGTGCAAGGCAGGTGCCCTACCCATTGTACTATTGCTCTAGCTCCAATGATACTTGAAAAAAAATTTTTTTTATTGAATTGCAGTGAGATACACACTTACAAAGCTGGTTATGATCGGGTTTCAGTCCATACAATGTCCCAACATCCATTGCTTCACCAGTGTGCAGTTTTCCATCACCATTGTTCCCAGTTTCCTTCCTGTCCCCTCAGTAGCCGCCCCCCCTTCTCTGTGGCAGGCACTTTCCTTTCTCTCTCTCTGAAATTAAGGTTTGCAATACAGATACTGAAAGGTTATCATGTATATCCCTTTACCTACTGTCAATACTCAGTACTTATCCAGAGTGATCATTTCTGACTATTATTGTCATACTGGCCCTTCTCTATTCTAACAGCCCCTCACCCCCCCCCCCCCCCAACACACACACACACACTCTTGTGTCAAGCTGGTAAGCTTCCAACCATTGACTAGTCCTTCTGACCCCTGTTTTTCCTGGCCTTGGATATTAGTCTCATACTATTTTTCTTTTTTTATATCTCAGAAATGAATGCAGTCCTTCTGTATCTGTCCCTCTCTTTCTGACTCATTTCACTTAGCATGATTGATCCTCTCCAGGCCCATTTATATAAGACAATGAATGACATGTCTTTAGATGGGTTTATCAAGACATAAGTGAATCACGTATTGGGGAAGATCTTTCTATATTCTTTTTGGAAGTAAAACATTTTGTTTTCATTCCTTCTCGTCTTAAGAGTAATCTTTACCATTAAACATTTTGGTAGCCTTTGAGTGACACCAGAATATGTGCATTAGTCGCAACAAACTGAAAGAAACTTGTGGAATGTTTGGCATACAGCTTGTGAGTTTTTTGTTTTTTGTTTTTCCCCACCTCACTCTGTGTTTATTCTAAACTTTATTAACTGTTTCTTGGGCTCTCTCAGTCTAAGTGCAATCAGGCAGATTTTAATGATTACTATAAACATACACATACATTTGCTGAACTATCTGCCGGGCTTCCTCTATTAAATTCACAGGACCCAGCAATTGGCAGAGTACATCCAAGTATGAGGAAATTTGCCAAGATAAGACATATGCTGAATCGTAAAACCGACAACAAACAAAATGCAAAACAGATGTGGCGGAGCTGAAGTTCTCTACCAGGGATGATCCTGCCCCATGCAATGTCACAGTGCCACGGGACAGTTTGGTGGTTGTGAGTGGTGGGTGGTTGCGGAGCTATTAATAGCTTCTGTTTCATAGGAAGAGATGCCAAGTATACTATAGTGCACAGAAAAGACACCCCTCAATAGGTAATTATGCACTCCCAGTAGTAGAATAGATACTGGGAAACCCCGCTCATACTGTGGTCCCCAGCACCCCAATCCCAGCACTTGACATCATTGTCCTCAACCCTGGCATTTATTTTGCTTGTTTTCTGCCTTCCCTCCAACTCAGCTTGCCAGGTGCCTGGGGCAGACACTCAAACACACACCAACATAGACTCACACACACTGGACACGACACATACACGTAGACACAGATGCACACACCTGCACACAGACTCACACGTGCTCAGTGGAGGGAGAGACCCGGGTAGGGCCTCCTCCCACTCCCCTCCAGAGAAAGGCCTTGGCCTTGGCCTTTGAGCAGCCCAGAGATGATGCGTTTCTGTGGTCCAGCACTTGCTGTGTTCTCTGTGGCCGCACACTTGGGGCAGTTGTGGGGGAAGGGAGGCGGGGGATGGGCTGTCTGGATTTCTCTAAGTGGCTGCCATCTGGTTGGCTCTTTGCCATTCTCCCTCCCAGCTTGTGAGATCTTCGCCTCAGTCGCCTTGTGAAGAGAGTCCCTGGGGTGGGGTTATTCTCTCCAGCCTTTGACAAGAGCAACAGTTACAAGAGAAGCTGAAAACCCATGTTTCAAGGAGGAGCCTGGTGCCCTCAGTGCTGGTAACAAAATATCCAAGCCCTGGGGGCTGATCACAAAATTATTACAAGACTGTCTATGTACATACAGTAACAGAATCACACCTGCAGGTTTTGGGGAATACCAGGGAAAGGAAAGGGGTGTGTGTGACCCTGAACCCTGTGGAGTGTGCACGGTGCTGAGTGTACTGCCCGGCTCCTTGGCGCCCCTTCACTGACAGCTGAGGTGAGGAGTGGGCTCCGATCCTGTGGCAGAGACCGAGTCACAGCCCACCCTGCTCTCCCAAAGCCTCACAGCCTGTAGCAGTGACCCCAAGACCCCCACCCAGGGCTAGTGCCACATCACCCAGGCCTTCAGGCCAGGTCAGACTGGTGAGAGGAACATTGGGGCGGACTCTGGGCCCACAAGCTGTGGGGACACTAGTTTGTGACTGAGACTGTCTCAGGAGCATTTTTCTTCCAGTGTTCGATAGGAAAGGTGACCCCTCACCCCCACTGCCAACCCGACCAGGACATGAGGGGCACAGAGCTAGAAGAGCCTCTAGGCCTTCATCTTGCCACAGGGAACAGTGGCTTTAGCCGAGACAGTGAGGTGTGACAAACAGTGGCCCTAACTGACAGACACCCATACTGCTGCTCCTGCAACTCTAGTTCTGCTCAGGGGTCCCGGTTTGGGGTCATGACAAGACAGTCCTGTAGCGTGAGGTGTGTGGGAGACCAGGGCCTGGGGGTGACCCTAGGGAGTCTGGGTTCATGGGGGGGAACGGCCCGCTGCTGACTGAGCCCGGAGAAGAGGCTTCCTTTACCATTGTGGCGTAGCTTGGAGTGGAGGTCACGTTGTACTTTGTGGATGTGTGAAAGGCTCACGGTAGAGCGCTGTCCAGGGATTGTGAAGGGCACAGGGTAGAGCGCCATCCAGGGGTGTGTTAAAGGCACACTGTAGGTGTCAGTACAGTGGGTAAGGCAAATGCCTTGCATGCGGCCGACCCAGGTTCAATCCCCGGCATCCCATATGGTCCCCCAGCACTTCCAGGAGTAATTCCTAAGTGCAGAGCCAGGAGTAACCCCTCAGCATTGCAAGGTGTGACCCCCCCAAAAAAAGCCAAAAAAATATTTTTAAAAAGAGGGCCATCTGGGGGTGTGCAAAAGGTAGAGGGTAGTCAGCTCCCAGACACTTCTTCTCCTCTTTTTTGTTTTTCTTTGGGGGCGGCCACACCCAGAAATACTCAGGAATTTTTCTTGGCGGTGCTTGTGGGCTCCTATGGGATGCCGGGGATCAAACCCAGATCAGCTCGTGCAAGGCAAGCACCCTCCCCACTGTCCTATCTCTCCCACCCCATCGACCTACCCTTTGGAACCTTGATTGTCCGTCTCCATATCAAGCTTCCACTGGGCCCTGTGTGCAAGACATATCCTATCCTCCTTATCATGTGGGTCACATCAGGATTAGCACAGAGAGGAAAGTCACGTGAGCAGAGATGCCCAGGACACATCCCAGACAGACACGTGCTGCAGGGCAGGCGACTGAGAGGGCATCTTTCTGATCT